TGAATGTCAGCAAAAATGCACAGCAAACAAACGTTGCAAGTCATTCAATGTCCGTCCTGATGACGATTTTACAAGGCACATTTGCGAACTAAACAACAAAACAAGGCAGAAGAAACCAGGAGATTTTGTGAAGACAAAAGCTTCTAGTTATTATGGTTCTGTAAAGGTCAGTGATAGCAAAAAAAACTTTTAAACCTCGAACGAGTAAATAGTTCAATTTAGATCGACTTAGGAGGTTTCAAACAAACAAACCTTGTCTAATTCTCCTGACTCATCATTTCTGCAACATTAACTGATACTACTACAGTCGACTCCCGATAACTTGAACCTTGAAGGGAAATTGAAAAAAGTTCGAGTTATCGGGAGTTTGAAGCAAATAACCGGAGGTAAGGAAATAGTCAAGTGGATGGGGAGGGAATGCAATTAAGCAACAAAGTATGGGATGAACACTGAATTTGAACTGGAGTGACAAAAAGTAAAGACAAAGAATTAACTTGCTTGTTTTGAAATAAACTCAATGTTTCGGACTTCAGTACACGGTTTTTTTTCCCGACTTTTCACGCGCTTATAACACGGTTCGAGTCATCGAGGGTAAAATTGTGTAGAAATGATATGAAGGGAAAAAATTACTTCGAGTCAGCGGGAGGTTCGAATTATCGAAGGTTCGAGTTACCGAGGGTAAAATTACAGTAAATTTAATTAGTATGTGTAATCAAATGGTGACGAGTGAAATTATTCCCTAATTTCACGAGTATACCAATTGATTACCTATTAATGTCATGGGTGACGAATTACGTTAGCTATCTTGGATTTTTGACATGTTTATCCGGGATCGTATCGATCGAGAACTCCTTCACTCTCTCGAACGTTTAGAGCTTAAATTTGGCTTAAGTTCAGAGTTTTTCGACAAAATACCTGTTAGAATCCTTCTTGATGTGCTCTTTCGTGTTTTCAGGTTTTCTAAAGCGTCTTTTTCTGCCCTGACATCTTCATTCATGACATTTTAAAACTTCGTCGCCATCTTGACACTGAGACGTACGTTAGGTTGCCATGGCAATTTTGTAATTTCACATGTGAAATTACAAATTAACGCTGAAATTTCACGCCAAAATTAAGGAGTAATTCGTCACCTATGATATTAGTATAGGTAATAAAACAAATAATAGCATGATTTGTACGTGATAATTGGCATAAATACCACTTGTGATATTTCAAAATGGTCTCAAATTTCACTCGCCGTAACGGCTCGTGAAATTACGTATAACAATTTCTAAATATCACTCGTGGTATTTATGCCAAATATCACTACAAATCATGCTATTATTTGTTTATACTACTACCCACAAAAGGTTTGTAATTTTCACATGTAGGTATTTCAAATTAAGCTGAAATACCACTGCTCTAAGCCAATCAAATTGCAGAAATTTCTCATGTAGTAGTATAAAGAAGGAAATCCAGGGGAAATCGACTTTGGTTAGAGCTGGCGAGGGTTCGAGTTATCGGGAGTCAACTGTATATGTATGACGAGCTACTGTGAAAAAAGAAACAATTAAAATTGGTTCGCACAAAGGTGATATAACATATATTCAAGTGGATGGAATCACACACATCATAAATGCAAGGAAATGAAGAAAATGAAAACGATAGCACTTGAAGATTTCAAGTAAAGTTCAGTGTGGATGTTTTAAAGATTCGAATGTCAATAATATATTAATCATGATTTTCTTGACTACTTTCTCAATCAAGATATCCTGCTTTCATATCTCTCGTAACAAGAAGACTCAAACTTCCACTGGTTACTGTTTTCCAGCTCTCCAAGGAAAATCTTGCCTCCCAAAACCAGGTGAATGAGGTCAATTTCTTCTGATTGAGTGATTAATTTATCTAAAGCCAGACAATAAAACTGAATAGAATGAAATGCTTTCTTCTAACATTTTCATCACTCCCAAACTTTTAAGGAGGGGTGGCGGAAAAACTACACCATCAGAATTCCAGAGGAAAGTTGCAAAACAAATCTCAAGAACAAAAGGTGCCTAAAAAACGGTTTTTGCCCTTTTTTCCTCTTCCCATTTAAAGGGTGGAAGATCCTCTCTCGTACATTTGCATCATTTGCCTTTGCTTACTAAAAATAGACCATTAAACGACTATGGTACTGCAAAACCCCGTTTAATAATACGCATACACTGGAGGAGCCATAGAAAGTGTCCATGCATATCAACGGGGTGTCCGTATAAGCGGGTCATGTTACTAAAGTCAAAAAGACACCTTTTACTGGAGTAAAATACTAAAGAAATTAATGAACGCAATAAACGCAGGGTCAAATTGTATACAGTCAACTCTCTCTAAGACGGACACCTTTGGGACCGGCACTAAGTGTCCGTCTTAGAGAGGTGCCCAAGAGTCAAATAAAAGGAGTAAAGAAAGGCAGGGACCAACTCTAAGTGTCCGTTTTACAGAGGTGTCCGTCTTATAGAGGTGTTCGTTAAGAGAGAGTCGACTGTATCTCTAACCTTCACGCAACCGTCATTACCCGAACTAAATCCATGGAAACACTAAAAATCGCTCTCTGCATAACCTGATTGATGCCAAAATAGTCTAAAATTGGCGTCTACAATTCATCCTTCCCGCGGTGAACTGTAAGGTTCAGAAATGTTCGACGTGCTTTTAGCTGAAGGTTTTTTGCCTACTTTAAAAATGGAAAGGTCTATTACACTGAGCAAACAGTTGATAGGTGTCTGCATTAGTGAGGATGACTTTCTATGAGATTCTGTTGATTGGGCAAGAAACGAGAGTCCGTGGTTCGCATTAACGAGTGTCCGTATCAGGTAGGTTGAATTTAGAGAAAATTCAAGGGCTTTCTCCAGGGACAAAGACAACTGTCCGTAATAACGAGGTGGGTGTATGTCAAAGCGGGGTTCGGCCGTAATTGAAAACAGCAACTGAATTAATCAAAAAAGGTTTGACGTACCTGTATGACGAGAAGAAACAATAAAACTCGATGGTAAGATATCCAAGCAGGGACATTAATTGATTATTTTTGCGTTTTTCACTTTTTAATTTTCAAATTAATAGGTATGTCTCCATAACCAAAAACGCTCAGTATAAAAGTGTTTTTGCAGTGATAATCCTTTCCTATGAAAGATGTTTGAATTGCAACTCAACCATTTCTTTCAGAAAAAAGCTGCCAGGAAATCAAGAAGTTTGGCAAATCACAAGGCGATGGTGTGTACTGGATAGACCCGGATGGAGGAAACCATTCCAATGCATTCCAAGCTTACTGTGACATGACGTCATACGAAGGAGGATGGACTATGTGTTACACCACCAAGGAATACGCCAAACCCAAAACGGAAGTCGCTTACCACCCCCAGTTTCCTTATAGTAAGGAGGGGTACAGGACGAACTGCAACAACATCCCAGTAAGCTGACTATAAAAATCTGCTTCTGTGGTAAATTTGTCTATAGATCTAACCTTAAATTGTTTGGAAGTGATCTCTGTAGACATCATAATTAATAAGTAGTTGTCATTTTGACTCCTATTAATTCGTTAGTTAAAAGTAATTTGAAAAGGTCAAGCTTTAGCAATCGTCTGCTTAGCCTGCGAGCAGGCTCACTTGTTCGAATTCGAGGAAAATTATTTCCAGCGAGGAAAAAAAAAATTTAAATAAAACTAGACGGCATTTGAGGCAAAAGTAGTGCAGGCCTTCCGACGCTTTTTATCATTAAGTTTGATGTGTGAATGTTTGTGCCGCGTGTCCATGGTTTATTTGATGATTATTTTGCCTGTCGACGCCTGCGTCTTTTAACTAATTAGATTGCATCGTTCGTCAGCGAACGCAGGGTATTCAAAAATCAATAGCTTGCGTGCAGGCTCACTTTTCCTAGGCCCACTGGCGGCTGCGCGCCAAAATTTTTCCCACAAGTGAGCCTGCTTGCAGGCTATCGTATGTTGAGGCCACTGCGAACAACAGCAGAAACCAGCCTAGTCCCTAGGCGTTCTCTCTTGTCCCGTTGTCCGCGCGAAGTCTGGGAAAGAGCGCGCGGGACTAAGTATCTTTTCTGAGGCCTGACGTCATCCGAGCTCAACACGACAAAACGTCTAGTCCCAGGTTGAGCATTGACCGTCAAAGCCCCCGAGAACCGGCCTTGTGGTTCAGTTGTTCTGCTTCATGGACTTTTAATAACCAGGCACAGATCACTGAAACAATTAGTCGATTAGCAGAAACGATTTTTTCCTGAAACTAAGACATAAAAAGCCTGCGAACACAGACGTTTCAGTTCTTCAATTTCTCAGTCGCCGATTCGAGCTTTATTTGGAAAACGACAACACACAATCGATTTGTAGTTTTATTTACCATCCGTTTTACCGTGTTTTGAAACGAAACTCTTCTAAGTTGATTGCCGTGAAACAAAACTTAATTATACTGTTGAGGATGGCGGGAATCAGGAGAAAGACGCGACGACGTGTTTGCATGAGATGCAGCCGAGCCGCACAGTCTGAAATTATTGAAGTCTTCAACCAAAGAACAACCATGTTTAAATAGGCATTTTCTTGAATGAAAGTCATTTATAGGCATGTTTAGTTTCCCGCGAGGTTGTTATTAAATTCCGGTTTTGAGTTCTTGTTTTGCCTGATAATAAAAAAATTGTTGAACGGACTAAAATTTTATTTCCAGTGTTAATGATAATGATGACTTGGTTTCTTTCATAAGTATTGTTATTCTTTTCTTAGTTATCGCCTTCGTCCAAATTAACTTATGCCAAACCAGTAGCATTTGTTTGAGCTGACCGTGCTGAATGATTCTTGAAACTTGGTCTGAGAACGTATTAAATTTTGTGCTCATGCGCATTGCGTTTTGCCGCGGTGTTCACACTGCCCACGACCGTCTATACTTGAATGCGACATCCGTCACATTAATACCTGGACAATCTGGACAACTCGCTATCTAGTTGTGGCCATTCCCTTTTTTTTTTCGTTTAGCGTCGAACGCGTTTCCTGATATTGGGTCGGTCGGTTGGATTGAAAAAAAAAAAACCTAAAAAAAAAATCACGAGAAGTCTCGGAATAGGAGGCTCTGGTCCCTCTGGATGACGTTAAAAGTTCACATTTACATATTTGGATTAACAAAGTGCATAATATACTGTAGAAATGTTCCTGTTTTTCTCTATGCTGTTACTATGCTCATTTTTCAGAATAAAAGAATTGTTTCAAGTGAAAAATGGTTTAATTACGTCGTTACTTTTTTTTTTCTTTGAAAATGCCAAAAAATTGGGTCGGTCGGACGACGCTAAACGGAGAAAAGAGGATGGCTTTTGGAAGTCAGGGCTAATTTAGAGGATAAAGTACGGTGATAACTCCTTGGTTGTACTTACATATTTTGTTTTCTTCCATTTCCTAAAGTTCTCTGAAATAATATTCATCGATCATCAAATGGGTAACAAAGCTTACTTCAAACGACGTTCACATTCATCTCTAACGGCGGCATCTAACGGCTATGACAAATCAGCAAATGCAAGTACCTATGGATTGTGGGACGGAGAAGGAGTAAACAAGAATTACTCCTATCAACTGCTGATTTGTCATCAGGAATTCTACTCTGGGTTTTTTGTTTCGGGTTACACGAACTGTTTCAAGAAATGTGACCGCTGGTGCGATGACAGAATAACACCATACTTCCGAACAGCATCCACACATCGATATTACAAAGGAGTGGCCTTCAATATCAATGGTCATTATCCCCACGTGGTGGAAAATAGGCTGATCAGTGTTGGACTCCGCTAGACAGCACGTCATTTCAGTGCGAATCGTATCATGAATGGATTTAGCAGAGAACAGTGCCGAGGGGCTACCCCCACTTCCTTTTTTTTAAATACCGTTAAATTTCTAAAGATTTGTTGGTCATAAAGAAAGTAATCAAGAAAATGGGGTAAAACAATGAACAGGCCTGTTGGTGATTGATGGTATTCCGGGATAAGAATTAGCAAAAATTTGTGATCCTGAATCTCTTTGATCGCGAATTTTCGGACCGTTGGAATATTACATTCATCTTAATTACTTACTTCCAACAGATTTCTATATTTTAGCATGCAATTAAAGCCAAAACAATAAGTGATTTTTGGAGTCTATTCCAGGTAATCTTATCCCGGAATATGGTCAATCTAAACACACTCACCGAACATCAGTCAGTATCAACAACAGTAAAATCAGGACGACACTCACCCGGGCAATACCACTCCAGAGTGTCACCCGAGAGACTGGCAAGTAATAAACGACATTAGGCAATAATAAACAATTAGAAGCTCGCGCATTCTTTTAATTGTTAAGTAAAGCTTAATAGGGGTCAATGATTTAATTTCAAGAAACAAAACAAAAGCCTCTAGATAATATTAAGATATATTGGAAAATTCATCATAGAACACTCTTATTCTAAAGAAGACAATCCCGTTTCAGCGTCCTGTTAGAGGGGATCTGAATATGGTACTACAGTCAAACCTCCATGTGCGACCACCTCTCGTAAGCGACCACCTCCCATAAGCGACCGCCAATCCAAAACACCAAAATTTTCCCAGTCAAAACCTTACAGTTGGAGCCTCTAGTAAACGACCACCTCCTGTAAGCGACCGGGGACACTTTTTGGTCCTGACGTTTAATGATTTTCAGTTGTTTTTAACTTCTTGTAAGCCACCACTTGACGCATTCTCTGATCTTTATGTTCGCTGTGTACACTATGCTACTTAGAATATGCGAAAAACGTTAGTGACAACATGGAACTACATGGTTCGTAACTTAAACAATGCATGCAATGAATTATCTTCCATGAAATTAATATGAGAGAATATATAATGGACAGGCGGGTTACCCAACCAAAGCGGGTTACCTCACCTACCTGGGGTCCCCACCTCCATGTAAGCAGGCCCACACACGCAGTTTGAAATGTTACTTAGACTATGCCCCTTTTACGGTTCGAACGTGAAAGAATTCAACTTGTTTACGAGCTCATTTTGCTCAATAAGATTTTAAGAAATCACCTCCTGTCCGAAACTCTGCAATGAAATTATGCATCATTCAATGTTACCCTTATTTATCTCCCGCACGATCACGGAATTTTGTGTGACACCTTCTTTGGCTTAGACTCGACAACTGAGGGCAAAAATAATTGTCAAAATCTTGGCAATAAGCCAAACTCGTGTCAATTCCAATTATTGTCGACAGATTTACCTTCAAATTTCTGAAAAATCGACCGGCTTCTAAATAAGATTAAAAAAAACCCGGAAGCTTAAGATTTATAAGTTTATCTTTTCCGAGCAAAAACTAGTACTCTTGGAGGATACGTCCTTACTGGCAATCACCAATGAATAGTCAGTACAATGAAAAAGGGCAATGACCGGTACTCATGGTCCGGAGAAAATACATTCACGCCGAGTGCTGCGAGGACAATTATTTTCCATAGGGAAAATTTAAATTATTTAACAGTTTGTTTCACTCTGTGTATCTTGTTTTTTTCAATACGTTTGTTTTCTATTCTCGGTTTTCACTCACGTGAGAAAGCAGAAACAAAAAGGGAAACCTTTTACTACAGAAAGTCTAGAATCTGGGAAATGAAAGAAGAAAATATGCAAAAAGCCTTGCCAGTAATCAGGTCTATGCAACAGTTCATATGCGAGATATTCGGAAAAACGTTTTACCCAAATTTATAAAGCTTTGAATGGAGAGACGCCATGTTTGTGTCCCTTTCAGGGGCACAAATATGGCCGCCGGAAACCAACAGACCCATCTGTTTTTGAGTTTTCTTACTTATGCGTGAATTCTTAGCTTGAGGAACTCATAAAGATTAAAGCAATATTTATTCTAAGACAAGGAATGCTTAGATAGCAAAATCTCCAAAAATCCGTTATGTTTTTAACCCAAATAAGAGCTTTCCCGGCCGCCGCAGCCAAATGCCGCGTCACGCAAAAGCCTGGAAATTCAAGCGTCCCGTATCGCAAAACAAAGAACCCTTTTGAACCGAAAATTTGTTTGTATAAAGGTTTTAAGGTGCTCTAATATCACATAAAAGCAAAAACTCAGAGAAAGCGATAGTTTCTTAGTTTGAATGATGGTGACGTCATGTGAAAACCAAGAATTGCCAATTTGTTTGCCGTGCGTTATCTGTGGGACGTATGTAACGAGGTTAAATGCTGTGTCGTGACACATCGCGCGGTACACATTCACGTCGCTTGGCGCTTGTTTACTTGGCTTGTTTACGTTCGCACTTACTGCGTGCCTATTGCAACTTTGAATCAAAACAGTCGATCTCGATTACTCTATTCGGGCGGCGCCCAAATAATAAAAATAAAAACGTCATTTCGCGGGAAAACCAGTGGTGGCGTCGAGAAATGTCGGCCGTTTTCTCAGACTACTCTGATTGGTAGTGAATGAAAATTTAGTCCTCACTCTTATCTGGTCCAGAATATTGTACAATCCCAGTAAAACACTACTAATAGCACCTATACTTGTCTATCAGTTAGAAAAGAAGCTCTACATCCGCAAGAATGAATGCAGGAAGTGAGATAAGTCTTGTTGCTATTCTAAAAATTTTACCAGTGAATCACCTCTGCAGTTCATGTCCTCAAAAGGACGTTGTGGACCTCTATATAGGTCAGTTAATGGTATTATTATAGTTTCTAACTAACTCTGAAAAGTAACTCCCTCTCTTATTTAGAAGAGCAGAAGGTTTGTCAAACTCCACAACACGACCCTGATCCAACACCATGATCCTATCACAGTCAACAATATTTTCTAGTCTATGAGCGATAATTATTACTGTTGTATCCTTGAATTTACTAAGTATCATTTCATGAATTAAACGATCCATCTTAAAGTCAACATTAGCAGTTGCTTCATCTAAAATGACAATCTTCTTCTTCTCAAGAAGAACTCGTACCAGACAAATTAACTGCCTTTGACCTACACTAAGGTTGCTACCCGACTCTAGGAGCTTGTATTGCAGTTGCCCTGGTAGTTGGTCTCGCACCCACTGTTTTAGCTGGACTTCATCAAGCGCGTTCCATAACTCATAATCCGTGTAGTTATCAAAAGGATCCAGGTTCCTCCTCAGGCTACCGGAAAATAATATAGGGTCTTGAGTTATCACGGAAAATATTCGCCTGGCGGCTTGCACATTCAAGGTTTGTAAATTGATGCCATCCACTATTACCTTAAAAGACAAAGAAGGAATTTTTGTCAGTCTTTTTGAAACGCAGGCTGAATATGACCGTGGAACTTTTATATATCAAAAACTGAGCCTTTATCATCGGGGCCATTCCCTCATCATCATCAACGTCTTAGAAATAAATGAATATATTACACGGGACTGATCACGAGGTCAGCTCTACAGATCGTATGGTTTGGTAAAAATTATGGAAAATTTATTGTCAAGCGTTTTTATCCTCCATGTAAATTATCATAAGAAAATAATTCTAGTTATCAAAGAAAATGATGATAAATTTGTTGAATAATTGTCATGTCATTAAAAGAAAGTAAACTGACAGGATTTTAGGATGAGTGCTGCTGCATGGATCAACTAAACCTTCGAAACAAAATAGGTACAACATTTGGATGGACAGATTGGAGTCTTACGTTTCCATCTGGTTCAGGCATTCTAAACAATGCCGCCAGGAGGGACGATTTTCCAGATCCAGTTCGACCAGACACGCCAATTTTTTCTCCGTCTCCGATTGTAAGAGTGACTTCCTTAAGGATACGGAGACCACCTTCCACATATGTTAAAGACAGATCTTTAATAGACAGATCCCCTTTGGTGGGCCATGATACAGGAGGTTGGGCTCTAGTAGTAAAACCAGGCTCTTGTGTCAGCTGCGCGTACGTCATCACCCTCTCAACCGACGTCATGAGGGTCTCTGTCTCTGACACCTGCTGGAGTCCAAACTGAGCTGCATCTAAGGTCTCTAGCGTATAAACCAACGACAGTCCTGCAATGGCTGCAACAATGTAATTGGTAACTTTATTCAGTACTTGTGATTGTTATTTTGTTTTAGTTGTAGACAGCTATTTTTTCCCAACTATCTGTTAACGAAGCGAGCTACTATGAGACAGGTAAAATCAACTATCGCTTAAGGAGACCTCTTCAGAAAGAAGCCCCACCTTTTTTAAAAAAAGACAACGTAGAGCTGATCCTTCCCGTTTTCCACCGTATTTGATTCTTTATAAGACAGACGCCCAAACTCCGATAATGATCAACATCAACATTCTATTAATAATTCTTTCAAAATCAATGCATTAAGGGAAAAGGTTGATAAGAGAATTAACAAAAAGATAAAAATTCTTGGATATTTTATCAAACTCATTCAACTAATTAATTAAGAAACTTAAAAGACATCAGTTCAAGGTGGATAATTTGTATGTGCATATCGGTCATTTAGGGCTGTAGGTTTAACGTTGACAACTGACTGATTAGTGCCGGGCCCAACACTGCCGTCTTAAAAAACGTTGTCGGTGTTAGAAAGAACAAACAGTTCACGACATTCCTCAAGCCTGTGAAAAACGTAGTAAAAGGCTGAAAAACAATTTGAAAATTACTTTTTAACAAGTATGAGAATACTTAGACATAAGGTAGTACAATATTTACCGGGTACTTGGGTGATGATAACTGCACCTGCTGCTACGAGTGTCACAAGCAAACTACAAAGCACTTCCAAACGAACCCCTAGCCACTTGGAGCATCCCAACACCATAATTATCGCTGGAGAATTTTCATCCTGGTACCTAATAAGCAAGGACCAAAGTCCAAAATATGGATATTAAACGGCTCATTTAGAAAGTATATTGGTGAGAGAGTTTGTGCTGTTCCTTGATGGCTAAAATAACAAATACAATAATTTTTCTGTTCAAGTTGTTCTACTACAGGTACATCGTTTAAAAAATGGTCAAAATGTATTTTCAATTTGTCATTCTAGTTTTAAACCAGTAGATGAAATTTAGACCTACAGCCTGTAAAGTGCTTCCATTCGAATGAAACCTCTTTGATAGAGCTTCTCTAAAGTACTATTTTCTGTCTAAGAATTTTCGAAAAAAAGGAAAAAACAAAGGAAAGAATTTTTATGAGAAAATTTGCTTTGGCCTTTATTATGGCTAAAAGGGTTAAAGAAAAGAAAACTTATAAACATATAGACTACAACAGAAAAGAAAATCAACAACCAACCTAAAGAGAAGCTGCAGAAAGCGCTCTTCCATTCCAGACGTTTTTATTACCTCCAGGCCATGAACCGTTTCTGCCACGTGTGAATAAACAGGACTACATTTGATGGCCTCTAATCTCTTTAGCTCCCTAGAGGTCCTCAAGTAATACCTTCCATAGTAAAAGAACAGTAACATCAAAGGGGTGATGCCAATCACAAGCCAGTAATTGGTAACTGCAGAAAGTACAGTAGCTCCAAACGTGAAGAGGCACAATTGGACTGCAAGCAGGAACTGTGGTGGCAGGGTGTCATCCATGCAACCGATGTCTTTGGAGAATCGGTTAAGAATGCGGCCGACAGGATTTGTGTCGAAAAATATGACTGGGGCTTTCATGACAGCTGTGACCATCTTGTTGTGAAGTTTCTCCGATGCTCGGAGCAACGTGTGGTAAAACAAGAAAGAAACAAGCGTGGAAAGGAGAAGAGCGCCAATTACCAGGGATCCAAAGATTCCAAGAGTTTCTGGGGCTCTTTGTTGATTTAATGTCATGTTGGCAACTTGCGATAGCCACCAATACGGTGAGATAAGGGCCACTGAGAAAAAAGTTAAATGGTTATCAAAAAATAAGCAACTGCTATTAATATTATCACTGCAAAAATAACCACATTACCAGCCTTCTTCCAGTCAACACCAGGCACTGAAAATTTACCAGAAACAGATGATGTACTTTTACATTAATTCAGCCTTTATGTCATTTAATTTTTCTTTCTGGTGGGAATTGAAAAAAATTTACCTGGAAAATATTTTCTGGGTAAATTCTACTTGTACCCCGCTGATAAGGACCCAACAATTAAGGACCATATTGTAGTCCAACAGCATCATCGTAACTGGAGTTGACTGTCTATATGGCAGACGTAGGATTTCTACCTACCTTCTCTTTCTTCACAGCTTCGTCCTTAGTGCTTTTTTCTTTAAAAAAGAGGAGAGAATCGGCCCTGGCTTGCAACGAGGTTGGGCTATTCAGTAGGGCACCACCATTACGTATTTCATACCCATTTTGTTCTGATTTGAATGGATTTATGACTTTCTTCTCACCCTACGGTTTCTGAGTACTATGTTGATTGTTTAACTAAGGACAAAATAAGATAAAATAATAATAACGATAAAAAATAAGGGGCCGTTAATTTAGGTGATAGTGTTGTGCATTCGGTGCGAATGCCGTTCAGTCTGCAACTCGATGTACTAGCAAGACGTGGTATAGATTTATCTCATACACCAGGCTTACCTTGTACAGTCAAAACAAGACCAGCAAGGCAAAACAGCATGGTAGCAGGATACGCAGAGCGAAAGTAACGCCAATAAAGACACCAGTTCACTGATCCAATCATTCTCTCCTCCTTCCCTTCTTCAAGGTCAACTGGGACATTTTCTGGAGACGCCAATGACGTATTTGTACGTCTCCTTGACAAGCGGTGCGACGTCTGGCGGTCCAATGAATGTTTTCTTTTATTTTCCTTATTAAAGACCGACAGGTTTGATAAGATTTCTCTGGCTTGAAGCTCTTCATACTTGCCTTGGTGAACAATGGCACCTTGCTCCATGACTAGAATGTTATCAGCATTCTTCAAAAACTGGTGTTGATGCGTCACTAAAAGACAACATTTCTCAAACAGCAGGCCGCGGATGCAGTTTTTGTAGAGATGAGCTGCCACTTTTGCATCAACAGCACTGAGCGGATCATCTAGCAGAAAAATGTCGGCGTCTGTGTACAGCGCACGAGCTAAACATATACGAGCTCGCTGTCCACCACTTAGGCTTACACCCCTCTGGCCAATGTGTGTCAAATCGCCTTTAGAGAATTCACAAATGTCCTTCTGGAGGCAGCAGGCTTTTATTATCCTTTCGTAGTTAACACTATCAAATGATTTCCCAAAGGTAATATTCTCCTGAATTGTTCCTGAGAAGATCCACGGTAGTTGAGGAACGTAAGTGATGACTCCAGAATGTCTGATCACTCCACTTTTGCATGGAAGTTCTCCCAGTATTGCAAGCAGAACCGATGATTTACCACAACCAACTGGACCTGTAATAACAACGAGTTGCTTCCCGTATATGTCCAAGGAGATATTTTGTAGTGTTTTATTCAACCCATCTGCCTCGTTCCAGCTACAGTACATATTTTTTAAAGAAATGCACGGGCTTATCAGTACGTCATTCTTTTTCGCGTACGTTTCATCCAATGCGCTGTCTTCATGTACCGTGAATATTTTTGAGAATGTGGGACTGCTATTTCCCTCATCCACGTTATCCGAAGAGTAGTCAATTTGAGAGTTCACAAAAAGTTCCAAAAAGTTTTTTATCCTGTCTAATGAAACTTTGGCATCAGCTAAGAGAGGAAGCGTTTCGCCCATAGATACTGAAACAGAAAACTTTATGACGTTTAGAGTTGAAAGTAAGGTAAAAATCTGAAATGCTGTTAAATAGTTGTCGGTGAAAAGTAGAGTTGTGATGGAGATACATGCAGCAATAGGAGTGTTGGTAAAATAGAGAGCATCAAAGCTGGAAAGTATCACTCCCCTCCAACGAACGTAGCTGATCTCTTTTCTGAAAGATATAAGATATTATTAGTATATACACACTCAGTGATCTTGGGAATTCAAGCAATCTGATTGGTTAGCTATCTCGGACTATGACGTTATATTCACCGCGCTAGGCGGTGAATATAAAGCAGAACAAAATCGCTGTCGTGGACAGAGCGTTTTGACAAAGTTTCATAGTAAAGCCTTTTTGAAAATACACGAATATCCAAGTGCTGATGACTTTGAAGGCAAGAAAAGACTTCATGGTGTTTAAACAGCGTGATTTATTGTGAAGTGGTTTACTGTAGCTGACTTTTTGTACGCTCGAAGCTATGTTTACCACTACAGAGGAAAACGAGGTCGATTTGTCACTGTTTTGTGATTTCGGGATTTTCTCTCAAGACCAATTTTGCCTATAAATAGAAGTTAATTTATGGAGAAAAGAGGAAGGCAAATATTTTCGAAAATTGTACGTGCCAGCAAGTCAACAAGGCAAAGAACGTTGGAGATAAACGACTCTCACCTTGATCGTAGCCGCTGTTGACAGCATTTGCAAGAAGCGACAAAGAAAACTTTCTCATTCACGGTGAGTTGCCAGAAACAAATAAAGCTCTACTTTTCTTCTCAGAATTGGGTAGTAATTTAAATTTTCGGCGTTCTCTTTTAAACCGTTGATGCTAAAGCGTACAAAACTCGATACAAAAAGATTAAACCTATCATTTGCCGTGTTTAAAGGGAACCTCCACTCTTACTACAGAATAAGTTTAAATCGAATAAAATTATGTTGATAAACAAATTTGTTCGAAATTTGTCTTAAAAAAAGTGTTTATATCAGGAAAAGTGAATTTTAAAATTGATTTTCGCGCTTGCTCTATTGTTCTGAACAAAGTTTTGTTTAATAACAAAAACCATTACTCGATACAAAATTTGAAAAAAAAAAAGAATTAAACCTTCTTTCGGATCATTTGACTGTAACAGTTATTTCCTGTGATTTAAAGTTATCTTTTTGTTGAAGTGGAGGTTCCCTTTAAAGATACTGTAAAGATCTAACTTTTGCGAATCCACTATTAACGGCTTCGTGTTCACGCATGAAATCGCCTGTAAATCAAACTAGTCGTTTTTTATGGTTTCCTTTCTGATTCTGTTGAGATCACTTCGTGTGAATATACTAAAACAATTATTCACCACACGCCCAGTTCATATTGTTGAATAATCCCCGAGACGATGCTTTCGGCGAATAATTGTTAATTATTCATTCATAATATTTTGCCGTTTCTCAGTGGCTCCAATCACCCGGCTAATTTCTTCATAATCAATCGGCGATCACCATATTTGAAGATGCGAGCAATATACCATTGATTAGATGGTATATTTGCTTGGAAACGAAGTTGCTCGATGGTAACATATATAAGACTGGAAACGAGGATGCTTGGGTAATAGTAAACTAATTGTAAAAAAAATGGCGTCCTCGGCCATGCGAAGAAGAAGTTGGCTAATTTCTGCCTAAACCTCAAACGGTAGAAATGCGAGCATGCGCAAAACATATTGTGTGATGGATGTTGTTCTTTAAAATAATACACTCTCATTTAGCTAGATTTAAGAATTTTTTTTTGACACTTATATTCAAATGTTCAATAAGAAAACACTGAATAAATTGTAGAAAGGGTTAGGATAGAATCTTCATCACTCACTTTCTTAAATCTTTTATCATGTCCGTAAAATTCCTCTCCCAAACACGCATTTTCACTGAACGAATGCCAGCGATGACTTCGTTCATGACTTCAAGCCTTCTATCGGTCAGCAAAGCTGCTTTCTCTCTGAGTTTTCCTGCTTCCTTAGACAACAATGAGATGTAAGTGATTACCGCAAGGAAGAAACCAGCTCCTATGAACGCTTGCCAGCCAACTAGATACCAGACAAGTAACCCGGATGAAATGATTTCTATGGGCGCAGCAAGAAGGAGAACCATACTCCAGCCTGCATCTCTGAGGTGATTTGCATCATTCGAGATGAGATTGATTATTTGGCCAGTAATAGCTTCATTCATTGAACGTCGATTCATTGTCATAATCTGTACAAGGAAAAGACATGAACTGTAGCTTGGGAGTAAGTGATATTTAAACAAGTAATTCTTTGACGAAGGTGTTCGGCAGACGTTTGGAGACCATCAGCTAAATCAAAAAAATTCAACTGAAAATTTTAGGCCAGCCACTGAAAGTTTGCCATATACCAGATTATGCGAAATAAAAATTAGGATATAAACCTTCTTCTTCAAGGGGTTTGCATTAAACTGGGCTACATTTTTCACTCTTCTTTGTGCTTGTTCCGGCAACAGTATCACACAAAGGTAACACAAGCACCAGAATTGCTGCAAGCAGTTAGCGTAGAAGCGACCATCTTAATGCATATACAACTGAAGCTTACACAAAACAAATTCAAGTTAAGGAAACTAACTTACCCTTTTATAAACCATGCCGATAACAGCAGCCCTTAGCTGCATTCCATAAATTCCACCCAAAAAGAAGGCGTGATGTTGAGAAATTCCCTTCACCATTGACAGAACACAGATACCAACAACATGTCCAATGACGGTGCCATGATTTACGTTGGAATTTTCAGATAGGCCAGCCAGGAAGTACCAGACCATCAATGGTAGTAAAACATTTGACAGAGAGTGTGTGAGCTTTACAGCTCCTAAAATAAGATAATCTCTATATGAGAACATTTTGAACATGAGTTTCCATAGTTGAGGCTGTGTATTTTTTAGAGCGCGGTTATTCTTTCCCTCATTTAACAACAACTCTAGCTTCCCCACTAACGTCTCTGTTTTAAACTCTTGTTGGAGTGGAAAGAGATCTTGACTTTGTAATGGCCTCTCACTTCCAAGGTTAAGTGTTTCATTCATCCACCGGAAAAATAACAAAGAAAATATGTTTGCTCTCTCCATCGGACTCTTCCTTTCCTCTTTTGATTGTTCTTTTTGTGCGTCCATTCCAGCTACAGGATTAGCTCTGAGGACTTAACATAAAGTTGAAAACAGCAACTTACACCTCTTCTACATTTACTAAAAGAAATAATGAACTGAAAAAACTTAGACTGGTCACAGTCTTCTATTTTTCGGTGAGATCTTCGAGATTGGGCACTTTGCAGTACGAGTAGCCATCCTGGTTTCAAACAGTTTCAAGTCTAGCCTGCGAATTTCAGTAAATTCTACTTAGTGGAAAGAGGACAGTCTCACAGAAGGTGGGAAGGATAGAGGGACTGTCTTAACCTCTATTTTTTCTCACCTCTCTCCCCCTACCACTATATACCCAACGCCTGTCCCCTCGGTTCATTTGAAACCAAGATGGCCACCTTTAATGCATAAAGAGCTTGATCTCGACTATCCAAAGGAAAAATAAGGGACTGTGAACAGTCTAGATAAAAACTGCAGTAAGCCATCCATCAAAAAACTCGGCTGTTGAAAACATGGGCGGTTCAAAAGATTTCAAGGGGGTAGTCTTCCATAATGTATATAGACATGGTGTGGACTGTGGAACCACCCCTAAACTCGATCTTCAAAGTGTCAAATTTTTGATTTCGCTAATCAAATTTTTCTATTCACCTGGCCCAAAATTTCGGACATTTGAGCCCGCATAGCAGTAGCGGCTTCTCCCAATCTATGACAAAAATGGCGTACGAAAATTACAAAGCTTCATATGAGAAGGATGGAATATTTTTGAAAATACTAGAAAGACTACAAACGTTTTTCAGTTTGCCAGAGTCGAGCAAAATCGAGTCAATTCAGTGCTATTTTCGTTGTATAATATATAGAGCAAAAATGATTTCCATACCTTTCTTTCGGAACGATTTCAATTCGCACCTTCGGGGCCAGTGAAAGCATAACAAGTCACTGACCAAAACATCAAAGATAACATATTTGATACGAAATAACCAAAAAAAAAAGATTCTACATGATTTGCCAAAATCGAGTCAAAATATAGATCTAGAAACGCCACGTGGAAAATAGAAAAATCTGATCTTCGGCATGTAAATTTACCTTTCGTTTCAGCTGTTAAAAAAGTCCCGAGCAGAAAGGTCGACATGTTACACAGTTGCAGTTCCGCTTCATCGCTCTACAATCTCGGCCAAAAATCATCCAAATTTTCTCCAAAACCCCGCGTTCGAAAGCTTGTTCCATCGCCATTTCTCTTTTTCACAATATTTTTGAACAGCGGCCTTTATTTGACTATAAACATGATTGTATTTGACCACTCGATCTTTCCTAACAATATGAGCCCGGAGTCACCATAAAAACCAGCGGTTAACATCATTGCGTGACAACCAGAATGTAAGTCACACGAAACTCGATGTCCGAGTTCTCCGGCCATGCATGGCGTCAAATGTCAACTTATGCTGTCGTATGTCATATTTGCTGACGTCAAAAAGCTGAAAATTTTAACTTTTGAATTTCCAAGGTTAAAGGTTTAATCATTTATGCTTGTAATTATGCTCTGCTAGGTATTGTGCTTCTATTAGTCACTTTCCGTGGCTGTACTAAAATGCAAATATGAACTAATGATAAATTTCTTCGGTGCCATGTTCACCTTTCACATATTCCAATTTATATTTTATTTATTTTTCGGTCTTAAGACCAATTCCATTCCAGTTGCCACAGAATTCTCTCTATATTTACCTAGACAATAATCAGATAACCTAAGGAGAGTTTCACAGGGCTTATTCGCCGTATCAAGCTGTATCAAAAAGGATCTTATATATAAGGACCGATACAAATTAAGGGATGGGATCAGTTGTTAGTGATGCTCTTCTAAATACAAAAGTATGAAACATGGGGTTCTGGGACTAAGACAGCCTTTAGTCTATGGGTAGCTTGAGTACCTTTCGATGGCTTATCGAGTTATTTTCCTCCACGACCTAGCTCAAAATGTTGCCTACGACTTAGCCTTTTACTAAAGCCAGCACCCAGTAAACTACTTGCGAGATAGCATACAGTAGCAGCAGTATTTTTAAAACACAAGCTACACCGTTACTAACCTGCTGGAACGGAGCTCATATTGTTGGTAAAGTTTCAGTGCTTACCAGTTCATTCCTTTCATTCTAACATTCAGCGAACAAAACGATCTTGACAAGTCTGTTCATAGAGCTAAAATACTGTCTTATTTCCACCCACCTCTGTTTTCATGAATACCTATCATTGTAATTATAATACGTCAACGTGCGTAAGAAAGAATGCAGTTAGAACTTCATTAGTGGGTCATTAGCCCCTCTTTTGCTGTGGATCACGCACTTCCACCGGAAGAAGAAATACAACTCATGACACGCTAATGCCCAAAACTTTTGATACCGCTTGTGACGCATATACTACATCTAAAATATCTGTAATGTTTTCAGCCCCTCCGAACAATCGAGCCATGGCTTTGCATATACACTAGCTAGATAATTATGGAATGTTCTTATTCAATCAATAATATGCAATAAGAGTTAGATAAGAGTAGAGTATTCGAAAATTTCGTTTTTCTTTTATTGTTATTGTTATCTAGGCTCACTAATATCACAATACTACAAAAAACAATTAATTTTAAACGGCCAAAGCACTGGACAGCTTGAGACTTGACTTGAGACGAAACACATATATTAAGGTATAGAACATGCCGTATTCGGAGAAAGACTGATACAGAAAAGACGAATAGAAAACAGTGTTATCAAAGCAAAATAAAATTAAATAAGGAATGGGACGATTGTATCAATACTAATTGTTGAAGACCTTTCAATTCCTTTCCAGTGTGGCTTTTCATTTCTCGTTGGCATAAGGAAAAAACTTGATCTCCAACTTTTTTGATAACAAAAAGAAGCAGACCCCAGCGAGTCCCGGACATGACTCCCTTACTTATTACAATTAATTTTAATTAGTAAGATGTTAAAACCTCCCCTTCCAACTTCTCGAAACCTTACCTTTGCCTAGGTTCAAAGCCTTAAGCAAAATTTAGCACGGTATTTTTCGCGTCCTTGTGTATCCCTGTGTATTGCTCTTTTTAAAGTTTTTGGATATATTTTGAACGAGTTATAAAACAATCATTGAATCCGCCTTCGGCTTCGACTGATACCACCCTCCTCCTCCATTTGCGAAATTTTTTATATCTTACCCAAGTTTATTCAATATTTCTTATTATCTATTAACCTTGACTTTGAGTCAAGTCATAGAAAGCGGCTTGCTAAACGCATTGTTTCATCAACTTTCCCATCTCTAGGGAACAGCCGATGCCACTGAGCTTGTTTATCTAAGAAGCTGATCAGGTAAACGTAACTGGGCATCGTAGAGGGATTCAGAAACTTAATTTTTCAATGCCACCATTCGAGGCATCAGTTTTTATTTCCTTACGGTAACCATCTCACCATTATATCAAACCAGTTGTCTGAATCGAGTTGGTTTTTAGTTTTTATGCTCCCAGTGCCCAACGACTAACGCAACCCTGACAAGAATTATAAACGCCTCCTTTATTTAGGGTCTCTAGGGGTAAAAGTCTCGTCTTGTGATTTGTTGTTCTTTTTTGTTAATTTTTTACTGAAATATGTGGATCGGAAAAGTCTCCGCACAACCGGCGTCTCTCTTATGAAGTTGTATAGTATGTTATCGCCTCTCAAATTCTCAAATTTTACTAAATAATCAAAGAAATGGTTAACGTGCAGAAGAGTAGGCGTTACGCCTTCGGCAACTCTATAATTGATTTCTCGCTATTGAGCCGCCTTCCACACGCGTCCGGCAATGTTTACACTCAGCACGTTTACCATTTCTTAATTGCACAATGTGAACTTTTCAGTTCGAGAATTTCAAAGACGATGATTGCTTCACTTTTGTTCATGCAGTGCCGATAATGTGCTTTTAACAAACTTTGACAAGATCTTCCGTTCATTTAAATTCTCTATTATCCGTCTTGCGGTTTCGTTAACTTGTTGAAATTTTTCAAAAAGCAGTCGACAGCATTAGAGTTACAGTTTGTTTATTTTTGCCTTCCTTTTGGGTCTTCTTTTCGGGTCTTCGCTGATCCGTTTTAACATCTTCCAGCCATTTTCTCTAGCTCTAGGGATCCAAAACCAAAAAGACTAAACTCAGCCATCACCTCAAGTTAGCCTGCGACCACAGTCGACGTATTTCCGGTCGTCTGCTTTGTTTGCATTTTTCATCCGTTACTGGGCGATAATAGCGAAGCCTATCCGGAACGGAGAATAGTTTACGGATTTTTAGTAGTAATATACTGGTCAAAATGATAATTCAAAATAGTGATTCTGACGGGAAGAATCTTTCCATACTCCAAGTTAAAAGCAAGGTAAAAGTTAACTCCGTGCTGAAAGGAATCGACTGCAAGATGTAAGGCTAACATGGCCGGGAAGGAAGAAAAAATCTTAAATGACAAAGGGAGAAAATAGTTATGTTAAGCCTGTTCAGACGGGGCTTTTTTCGCTTCTTTCGACGGGGGCGGTGGGGACTTCGCAAATGATACAAATATACGGCCATCAAAACTACTGCGAATACTGATCCACTCATCATTTCCAACGTTTAGGCATAACTTGATCGACACAATGACGTTATTTGACGTCATTATGACGTCATATTGTTGAATTTATTGGCAGAATCGAAATTGCCCTTAAAGTAGCTAAAGAGCGAAATAATAAGGGGCGCTTTCCATTTAGCCAAAATTTCCGGAATTTCCGGTTCGGCGGTAAATGGAACACGTTTCGTCGGTTCGTCCCACTGGAAAATTCCCAGAAAAAGTGGAAAATCTAAAAAGGTGGTCCCGTTTTCCCGGTTGGAATTTCCGAACGGAATGTCGTGTTCCATTTACCTTTCTCGTAGTTTGTACCAGTTCCAGGTCCACGGTCGGGCACCGCGCCACGTACCGGGGTTTACGACCAAATGGAACAACTTTTTGCCAATCGGAAATTCCATTTTTGCTACCACCGAAATTTCCGGGTTTTTTTCGTAAATGGAAAGCGCCCAAGGTGTCTGCCGGAAGCTGGCTAACACTTACAGCTATTTCGAGAAAGGCTGGCGGAAAAAGTGCACACAACAATGCCGAAAGGTATTGTGGGTAGTACTGAGTTCACAGTTCTTCAACAAAATTTGAAAGAATGGCGCAAGAGGCCATGGACATATGTTTGCGAGTATTAAAGGGAAGCAACAAAAGTAATTTCGACAGCTACAGTGTCAGGAACAGTTTATTGATCATATCCCATATTACATTTCGGGATTGTCGCGTGCTCATGTTTTCCGACAACCTTTCTCGAAATAGCTGTAAATAATCTTTAACAATAGCAGTGATGTCATGATGGCGTCTCTTATTATCAAAGAAGGAACTGGAACCATCTGCCACCTTAGATCCCCAGTTTTGAATTAATCATATATATTCGACTTTACTTAGAACCAGTATAAATGGAGGTAATCGTGATAGAAATTTTCATATGTGCATACAATAACTAAAATATATAATAGCAATAAAACCTTTTTAATAGAAAACATGATAATTTTGAAAAAACATGGCTGTAAATCTTGGTTACCATGGAAACGTCAAGGTTGACGTACACGTCACGACGACTTTATAATGTTCCCGGATAAATTCTGGGAAACGGTTTTAAAGTTATTTCACTTTTGAGAGAGGGACTGCCTAAAAAGCTCTCCGGTCTGAATTTTATTGTTTATTTATTTATTTACTATTTTGGTTCCGGCTAACTCACAAGATCCTCTTCAGGCTAAGTAAAACCAGTAGGTGTGATGGAGGTTTTTTCAATGCGATAGATTGCATCTGTGTACTAGCGTTGTGATTCAGCTTCGTTCTTGATTCAAATTTTAATTTCCTTTGCTTTCACCAATGCTAATGAGTCATTGTGAGTTGAAAAATAAAGAGACAGATTAAAATTATATTCAAATCAGGGATAAATATGCAACGATATGTCTTGATAATTAGCAGAACGAAATTGCTCAAGTTATAGGAAAGTAGAGATGTTCTTCATGTTTACGAGTGTCTGATGACAATGGCTAAGCATAGATGATAAAGGCAAAAGAAGTGATTTTTAGCTCGCAGTAGTAACAGCGTTTCTTGCTGTTTTTGTTACTGCAAATTGTTTGGGACAAGTTGTGGTATATTATTGCGATCAATGCGATTTTGGGCCCAAGACATCAAGCAACAGATTAATGGCTGATCTCAAGTAAAGTTTTCGTGTTCGATAATTTTAGCTTGCAGTAGATTCCTTTTGATGACATGCTCTTCGTTAAGAAATTTAACTGTGGTGAGTGGAGGACAGATTTGAAAATACCATATTACCTTGCAATCTATACTTAAAAGCTTTTTGCTGTTCTTCCAAAAAATATTGATAAATATAGTTTTAGTTCTACATTCTTATCCACGTAGTTGGCCTGCATGTCTTTATTTATATTATATATATATATAATAACTGTTGAGAATCGGAGGATACTTGACCTTATTATATTGTATACATACCGAGTCTAGTTATACTCACTGAAAAGCTATGTCGTAAAGTTTCATACGCAAATGGGGAAAGTGATGCGTCCAATCAAAAGTTACAGAGGTGTACGAGTCCCCCCCTTTTATAAGCTCTTAGTGCAGTTCGCATCGCGCTCTCTTTGCGAGTCGCTTCGCAGACGTTTAATGAGAAATTATTTTTAACATTACTTGGTGATTACTTTGGCATTCACATAAACTCATATACTCTTGTGTGCCATTGGTCAATTGCCGCATTTTTTTCATATTTGGTCAGCGACATTGTGTTTTGATGGATGATTGGACGATTGCTTTAAGCTAGTTAGGACCGTAGAAATGTATTCGCAAATTAATAATAATATAATGCTTTTATTAATAAACAGAAGGAAAAGCATCTACCGACAACTATTGCTAGAATAGAGGAGAATGGGGAGGATGAGGGTGAGAGAGAGGAGGTTGGGAAATTAGACTGCCTATGGTGCTATCTTTTCTTTAAATATTTCTTTCTACTGCTTTTTCTTTATCTTTCTTTATTAATTTCGTTATTATTATTATTATCATTATTATTATTATTATTATTATTACTGCATTTGTGTTTCATCAGGTTTTGAAATACCATCATGCCGCAACTGTCATAGTGTTAAACTCTCCCTCCCACTTTAAAGTCTAAAAAAGCGTAATGAAACCAAACCACTATCAACAATGTCATATACTACTTTCGTGTTTATTGAATAATTTCGGGCTCAGTAATGTCGTTTATTTATTTATTAAGGTATCACTACTCATCTTGTTGTTTTATCTTTTTAACATTGAACGTTTTGAGGCCAGTCGCAATACTTTTGATTTTTGTTATACAACAATCCTGCAGGACAGCTTCTGACATAGGGAACACCGGCTGAGCAGATAAAAAACTTGGAGCAGTCTGATGGGTCAGGAAAATAGCCATCCGGGGCACAGCCCCCCGGTCCTTAAAAATAGTAATAACAACAAAACGTTAGACAACTAAATTATCAACAGCTTCCTTTGAAGGTGTTTAATGTATTAGTAATTTCCAATTTTAATATTTTTCGGTTATGATTGCTTATCATTTAACGCCAAGTTTCAAGTCGTAGAGTTTAAGTATTATAAATAAAGAGTTATTTAGTCAAAGTTTGGAAGCACGTTTGCCCTCAATCCATCCATTCACTATTTTCTCATAGATCGCAATGCACCTTGTTTATCAGGGGCACCCATGCAACGAGAATATATTTCAAAACCACTTAAACATAGCATTGTTAAAAGTATTTTAGTACGTAACGGTAGATATAGGCATATTTTTATCCCCTAAAAAGATTTTATCTGTTCGGATTTCCTTCCTGAAATTCTAGTGATCCGAAAATTATAGGAATCAAAACTTACGTTTTCGAAAATTTCAGTCAGAAAAAAGGCTCCGAAAATTCTAGGTGACATTTTTAGGGTAAAAATCCGTTAAAAATTGGCAATTATACCATTTTTTAGATGTTCGAAAATCCTAGGAGAGGCAGGCCAGCAACAAATTTTACAACAAATGTTCCGAAAATTCTAGATCTCAAATCGTCTTCCGAACAGATATTTTCCGAAAATTGACGTTGGGTGCCCCTGGTTTATCCTCCCAAAATTTTGCATAATCATTGTGTCCAATTTCTCCTGGGTATTACAGTCGTCCCACGAGAAATCGAAGACAATGGTTATGCAAAATTTTGAAATAAAGTGGTGAATGAGGCCCTCGGATGCAAATTTGGAGGTGACGTCATGTATACGGTGAGTTTCTAATTGGTTCTTGTCCAACAGCTAGTCCGGTATTCCCTTTCTTCAAAACATTTGTAAATTCAGATTCAATCTGGAATGTTTTTAGGGATCATGTTGCGGATGCCATCGTTATTGATTTAATGATTTTATACTTTTGATTTTATAATTTAAAGAGAATGTGTGCTCTGTACATTCTAAATTAGTGGATAACATATTGAGATCATTTCCAGAAGAAAATGCTGAAAGGACAGGGTAAGAAAGTCCTTACTCACCAGCTGTAGGGATTGGTGTTGTAGCAGGGCTCTTGATCGTTTGAGGTATTGTCAGGGTGGTTGTTTTCTTGGTTGGTAAGGTCTGAGTTGTTTTTGGAGGCGCATGGCTGCTAGTGGTTGATGTTGTAGTCGGTGTGACCGCCATACCCCGCAGGAGTTCAAAAGCATGTGTGCCATAATCTTTACCATTAACAATATTGTTTTGCACCCAGGAGCAATCCCAAAACATCAGTCCACCAACGCCGGGCTTGTCACGTATTTTCTACAGCAAATAAACGGTGATCTTATTAGGGTCGTCTGCGATGCACATGCATCCTGTAGACCAACATATAGACTACAGTGCTTCGATGTACGCAGCGGTACAAGGGATAGAAAAGTCACTAAATAAAACTGCCAGATAATCGAAGATTGGAGGATGGATAACCTTTCATTCAAAGTTCTCTCAGACCTGTCCTTATAGGTGATGTTTTTATTAGTTCTTCTTGAAAAATAGGGCAGGAATAAAAAAATGAACATTACACAGCGTATTTAGGCCTATTATGTATCTCAGAAAAACCTTACTGATTTTTTTCTCAATTCGCGAAGCATACAACGGGAAAATAAAAGAAAGAGGACACGTACTCTGTCGTCTCATCTAAGACATTTTATATTTAACAATTTTTAACAATTTCTATATTTAACAATTATTCCAGTGCGCGTTGGATATGAGTTGGCGATAATCATCTCATATCCAACAAGCGCGAGTGGAATAATTGTTTTATTAAAAACGTCCATAAAAGATCGAGAATTCTTCCCGACTTTATTTGTGAAAACAACCGATTTTCAGCTTTTTTAAAAAATTTTGAACAGACGGGTGCACCTAAGATATTTGGAGAGCATGGTATGATGGGTCATTTACCATGGTAGCTAATCCAATCAGAGCTCTAGAATTGCATTATCCAGTGATTCAGTTTTTACTAATTCTAGTTATTCAATCAAAATTAGATGTTAGACCAGAAAATGTGAATACGCATATACTGAACGCCTCAATTAATTTCCTGCAAAATATGAGAGGGCAAGTAGCGAGAAAATTAGTTACCTTGTAAACTGTTGCGAGTTTATCAGGAGGAAAATAATAATGAGGCTTGCCAGCTGCCTGCGGTCCAGCCGGCAAACCAAGTACGATTAGAGGTCCATTAGGAATACTTCGTGCCCAGTTCAACCAAGTGTCCATTACTGGTATGAAGTATTTGTCACCAGGGTAACAGTAATTGTTGTAGAACTGGATGAACAGGTAGTCAAATTCGTGCCCAAAATCTAACAAGAAACAAGTTAAGTTATTGCTGGTTGAGTCTCAAAAGCGGTTTCGGTCAACTCTCCCTTAACGGACATCTCTATAAGACGGCCGACAGCTCTCTTAGACGGATATGTGGTGTTGGTCCCTGCCGTTTTTCATCCCGGAATTTTACTGTAACTATACTTTCTATACGACGGAAACCTCGAGAAACCTCTCTAAGATGGCGGACAATCGACACTTTTGAAACCGTCAACGGATGTGACGATTGGAAAGTGCTTTATGTAGTGAAAAATACCTCAAAACGAAAATGTTACTTGACAGTAAATTGAAAAATGTTTGATTATTTTGTAGTCTGCTCCAGTTCGCAGCCCGCATACTCGTACTCTTTCAGACCACGAAGCTGTAAACGTTTGCTCGTGAAGACCGTTTGATTTCACAAAGGAAAAGTAATTCCACATTTCTGATACAATGTTCCATTTTAAGCTGTTTTAAACAGACATGTATCTATGTACAGTGCTATATATATGTTACCTAACTGTAAGTTGATATCAGTCTTAACAGGGTTTCGTACAATGCCCAGCCCAGTTTTCTTCGCTTGATATCTTTTTTGTGACTTCCGCTGCGGCGTTGACGTTAACCAATTATTTTTTTAAACTTTTCTTATTTAACGTCCCTTATTCAAAAGTCTGTAAACCCTGTCTCGTGCCAGATTATCACGAAAAGATACCTTCTCCTAGTTACGGCAACGTAACAAAGATTTTCCTTTCTATGCAAAATGTACAAAGCTGTAAATATGACAAACAATGTTTAACATCGCCTTAAATTATTCTTATCTAGATATATTTCGAATTCCGGGGCAATAATCCTATCTCTACATTGTTTAAAGAAAGGTTTTAAGAAGTAAAGTATGTGAAGTCAGAAGAAGCCTTTTACCTTCCAGAGCAGAGCCCTGAATCTGGGGTCCCATCCATTTATCTGGGAAATGGCACTGTGGAGCAGCAGTAATTAGGTACTGCTTGCTAGGGTCTGTGCTCATCAAGCGCCTCATCTCTTGGACAAAGTCGGAGTAGTATTTATGACTTCCGATCTCGATATCGAGATCAACGCCATCCATAACCGTCCTACAAATCATGAGAGACTAACATGTCATTCGCTAAAATGTGGCAGGGGCGCGCGCCTACTTTTGAATACAAGATACAGTGGAACCTAAAGGAACCTTTATAAAACAAAGTCCTTTGTATGACGAACGATATATTCTTCGCCCCATTTATGGTAAATTGCATAGAAAAGTATGACATCGATTACGTATTTTGCCTGTCAATTGGTACTTCGTTATTTCGAGCTTCTGTGTAGGTCCAATAATTAACAGCTTTTACATAACATACTTGTGGTTTGGGTTAGATATGAAAATTGAACTTTTGAAAAAAAAAATCGTATTTAATTGTTATGCTGTAGAAGTATCAGCATAATATTTTTGACATTGTTATAGAGTAAAGATACACAAGCGCCAACCAAGTTATCTGCGTTGACATCTCTGACTTTATTCTTATGGAGATTAGTCCAGTAGTAACAGAATTAAAAGGGCCTATGTATGTAACAGTTAATTAATTGAATAAAAGACTTCAAAATATTTCAGGCCGTACCATAAAAAGGGCCTTTGATCCTGCATGTCTTTTCCACCCAAGAACATATTCCATATATAGTATGCCAATTTCTTGGCATTCTCAGCACTACCCAGGCTCCCGTCGCAAGTATCCCCGCCAAGGGATATTAGCAACTTCTTACCCATCTTTTGGCAATCTCTGATGCCACCTCCAATTGTAGCACATTCAAACACATCAGGGTTCCGGGAGTTTGGAGCGTAGCTGCAGTGATGAGCAAAGTTCATTCCAGGATAACCATCTGATGGATGATAACAAAGTGGGTTGTAAAAAGTTAAAGGTGAATGAAATAGTACGTATGTTTCGCCATCAGTTTAAAATTTTCACTAAATCCTGCACCAACACCGACAGAGCTTGCTGCAATCAGTTGTAACTGCTAGAGCTGCATTATCAGCAAATAAGAACAAGGTTGTTGAAAAACGCTGGCTAAACAAAAAAAAAAATAAAGAGTTGCCTGTACTTCATGTTAATAAGAGTTTCCTAAAAAAGTACCTCTGTTTCTGTTATTTCGAAACAGGCGATGAACAAATGCGACCAAATAGATATCAAACTTGTGATTATTGCAGAAGTAACGCAGGTCTTTCTCCCAATTTGGTCGGCTGACACTATAAGCGATGGAGTTTTGTCCCCAGTATCCGGCCAACACTTGGCGAGTTGGAAGAGAGCGCTTAGTTTTGACTCCAGGACTCGCTTGGGTCTCTGATTTCGCTCTGAAGAAAAGAAACAGCAAAAACAAACGAAATGAAGATATAAAAGATCAGCACTGATACTTTAAATACTGACATGTATCCACATCTAATAGGTTGATGGCTGCCACAAGTAACTGGCCTGTGAGCCATCTCTGCAGAGCAAGAGCTGTCACGGGTTTGATCCCTGGGTAGTGCAGCTACTACTACTGCTACTACTGACTGGGTACTGATGAAGATACTGGTTTTGCCCTGCTTGGTTTCAGACGTAATTAGTCGAATAAAAAAGATGCTGCCAAAATTAAAAGCAAAATTAAAATGAAAAGCTAAAGTAAAGAAAGTGTTATGCATTTGTTATTCATGATTTTCTAAGTTCGACACGCAATAGCATGACAACTTATTTATCCACCGTCGTGCCAGTCTATCATGAAATGAGCCAAAAACGACGTGGCGCTTGTGTGCGATTGATAGAGGCTTTTAAAGGTGTTGGGCTCCCTTGCGCACTGATTGAAATAAAATGCTAAAATTAAATTTCCGCTCAGTTTTAATTTTATTTGAAGTAGGAGGTTTCGGAACTTCCTCTTGTTTTCTAAAAATATTTTCCTCATCATCGACAAACTATACACTGCGACTGGATCTTAAATAAGTTATAAGGGAGTCTTAATCTTATGAATACTATAAGGCTAGAATCTAACTTTTCCCATCAGTTGTACAACTTGCTTTGGCAATAAACATTGGTTGTTTTAGTGTGTTTAATTAATCGGTTTTGAAAAAGCCAAATAAAAAGGCAGTTATTCATTGCCTTTGAACGTGTACATGCAATGACCTGTTTTTCTTGTCTAAATGGATCCTTGATCACTCGGAATGTTTTCATGATGGTTGTCAATACGGAAGAGTTTTAATTTTGAAAAACGTCACTAAACTCAACAAATTTCGAGAACATATCTTACCTCACAGAATTTACCCACGAATATCCTTCAGCATCCTTCAACAGAACAATAATGAGTAAAGAAATCCACATATTCATTGTTGCTTCTTAATGGTTTGCTGTTCAGTATAGGGTAAAAGGAGGACAATCGGCTCTTCTTCTATTTAAACATGGGAGTCACGCCTACCTGCCACGCCAAGAGAGATCTTGATAGGTTCCTAGCAATCTCAAGACTTAATACCTCGTAATCCGTAGAAAAGCATATATAGTAAATTGCCATATCTAGTCCAGTTTTGTTGTGCTGGTCCAATGATTTGATCCCTGAGATCACGAGGAAGTAAATGCAGAAATATGAAATGATCAAGTGTGTTGAAATTTACAGGTGCCATTTACCGTCATCTGAGGACCTTTATATACGTGGCTTTCTCTTGGCAGCATTAAGATAAAGTTACATTAAGATACGTTTCCTTCTTTTTTGTGCAAAATATTTTAAGACATCATCCATTGCATGATCTGTTGACCATTTTTAGTCCTTATCACACTAAGTAAAAGTTAGATAGTCGTTTATTCAGCTGTGTTGTTTCGAGAAACTTTGACACTTCTGGAGATCCCTTTGAGCAAACAGAACGTTAGACGGTAGAGATAAAGCAAACACGCCTGGTACACTTGTGCATAGCTGTTTCTATACCAGCTGTTTGAGCGGGAAAACATACACTGGCCAGCAGTTCTTTTACATACGTCGATAGACAATTGTGTATGGCGCAATTAAAATTTCTTCTCGTATTTTTTTACTCAGCTCAAAGATCATTTTGCATCCAGACGACACCATTGGCGTAAACTCTATACTTTTTGGAGATTACTTTTTATAATAATAACTTAATAATAACAGTAATAATTTTAAAATAACGGCAGTTTAATTCTAACATAGTAGGACAAAACTTACGTATTGCACTAGCGTGGTGAATTTTTAAAATGACAACACTTCTAACTATTAAAATCCTATTAACAATTAATTCGCTTAAAAAGAAGAAAAAACTATTCATTCAAAACACTATTTACAATTCCTGTCGATTTAATAATAATGATAATAATAATAATAATAATAATAATAATAATAATAATAATAACCTGGACCAGATCGCCTAGCAAACTTGTGGTGGAAGAAGACGCTCTTCATGCTTTAGTGGCCGAGTTCAGTCATTTCAAGCTATAACACAAGGTGATTGGGACATTCCATTATGATTCACCGAAATTGGGCAAGTTTTCAAGCGAAAACCAGAGGCCAATCACATGACTTAACAAGATCTACAAGTGGTTTACGTCGTACCTTTTAAAACCGGTGGATGAGCATTAAGATGCTTATAAAATGATGCAAGTTGAGAAATTGGGAGAAAAATAGAACTGCATTGGCATGACTGACAATTTGTTGATCGATCATAAGGTCTGTCAAGACAGTCAACGCGGGCGGGAAAACCTCAGCATGGCGTGGGTCGATGTACGAAAGGCGTATGAATCAGCAGATCACCAATGCCTTAAGTAAATGTTCAACATACACCGCTTTCCGAGATGGATTGGTAATGGCATAGCAGGTCTCAGTGCGAAATTGAGCACAGATACGATATAACGATGAACACCAAGCAGGTGAGCGAAACATCCGAACTTATTAGATTTAAGTAAGTCTACCCCAGGGGGATGCCCTGTGTCCTACTTAGGCTATTAACGCTGTGTTCAGTAAACCCTGCTGCCTGGAAGCTACTAGCGACAGAGGGCTACCGTCTATCTAAGCCTGTAAATGCTAAAATCACTGACCTGTTGTGTATCGACGACTTAAAGATCTATGCGTCATCAGAAGGAAAGTTGGCGAAGGTAATGGAAGATATGAGAGACGCATTGAAAGATATCGGTCTTCATGGGAAGAAGAAGAAAGTGCGCGGTAACACATGTCAAAGCTTAAGGGACTGGTCTTATTACAAGTTTCTTGGAGTGCTAGAGGACATCAGACAGGAAGCCAGTCTAGTACTGGAGAATGTCAGGAATGTATTTTAAAAGGCCTCTGTGATTTAGACGGCCCCCCTATCAGATTAGAATTAGACAGTAGCGACCTATTAGTTTGCGCTACCGGCATTAACGTACTTTGTGCAGACGCAAGTGTAGCCAATGGCTGAGCTGCAAAGAATTGAACGTGATACACAGAAGATCATGGTGGAGAATGGAGCAAAGCACCCACAAGGATCCATTGAGTTACTCTATCTCCCCAGGAGTTCAGGGGGGAGGGCTAAATTCAGTAGAAGCAAAGTATAAGATAACCAAGATAAAGGCAGCTGTGAATGTCTACGGCAACACAAATCCTACAATGGGACTAGTTTGAAGAGAAGGCGACGCAGGCTGGACGGCGCCCGGTGGTTAAAGACGCACAAAAGTTTCCTGAGGAGCTAGGGATGGATATAAAAGAAAAGCAACCAGATTTAACAGGTAACAACAACAACATTTATTTAAACACGATAAAATTACAGCGGAGCTGAAGTGGTCGTGTATTTCGAAAAGTTAAGACACAGTTTACAAATTTTAAAGTAAAGAGCTTAAAATTTTAAAGTAAAGAGCTTAAAACTAATTAAAATTTAGAAAAAGATCTATCCTTTTTAAAAACTATATCTATAAACTAAGCTATTGGCATGAAGTTCTGCTTTTAAGAGAGTTTTTACATAAACTTTTGTTTGAGATTGCATGGGTATGATTGTCAAGAGAATTCCGTAGAGATACGGCGTCGTAACATTAAGTGGTCTTGCGAAGAACTTCAGTGTTTGGTTTTGGTAACAAAAAGGTCAAATTCCTTCCCAAGTTATAGTTGCACTCATATTTCGTAAACAGCTTCATAATAGGAACGGTCAAAAAGTTCTAAAAACAGTCGTGTGCTAACATGAGTAATCTATATTCATAGAAATCTTTAACAATTGGCCACTTACTTTGGGCTAAGACCTGATCGCTGGGTGTGTACGTACACGTATCTTCTCCAGTTCATCAAAGAGCGCTTTGCCGCAGGAGAAACCCCATACAACTAACCCACAGGTAACTGATGGTAAAATTACTTTAAAATAAAAATCAGCTCTCGCTGTAGTTGGGAAGAAGTACAAAGACCTGAGAAGATTTTATTTTTATGAAAAGGACTTAATGAACTCTTTTACATAAACATTCCAATTAAGTCAAGTTCGACGCCTAAACACCTTAACTTGATTGACGACACTGTTCCCCGATGACACTGCTTGCAACGGCCCAACAAACTGGCCTCGCATTAAAATCATGTTAGTTGGTCTTACCGGAGTGGGGTAAGATCAGGCGGTTAAGGCAGCATCAGTCATACAACTTCTGAAGGATGACGTTCAAGACAACAACCGTACCAGGAGAAGACGCAGCCACGTAAATGGTAGTGTCGTCAGCATACATGTAAAATTTCGCCATCACGATCAGGTCACACTGTGGAAGGTGATCGAGAGGACATAAACACCGAAGATTGGAGATTGAATCAAAAAAGAAGCGCAAAGCATCCGTAAAAGGAGATCGCAAGTGAGAAATAGCTGGGTAAACTAATAACTGTGAGTTGGACGGTGAATGATTTTCATAGATCGGAGTGGAAAACAGCGCCAGCGCATACAGTGGCCGGAATCCGCGAAATATATACCAACAGCTTCTCCCCACAAAGATATGTAATAAAAGGAAAATTAAGACAAGCAGGGACCACGATAAGGAGAGATGCAGATTGTCGGGAAAGGCTCAAGGAAAGTGTCGCGGATGTGTTATCAGGCTGCAGTGCATTCGCTTGCGCAGACTGAATACCTTTACAGACTCAATGCAGCCCTCAAAATCCTGTACTTTGTGCTTTTAAGAGATCATAAGCTGATAGAGTCTAGCTGTTCCTCCTTGGTATTCTCCCGTTAATGCGGATAACGGACACTTTTTTCTTGCCCAGCTGCAATGGCCATTTTACAGTTGTGGGCTCAGTGCCCTGGCCTTTGAATGGAAGCGAGGCTGGCGGTGACCTTGTTTTTGTTACCAACGTTCTTGTTTTTCATACCTAAATGATCATGTCCACGGGTTTGTTAGCATGAGAATATCACGATTTGCACCTGAAAAGCAAGAAGGTTTGTAACAAAACATTGTCACCGCCAGCCTCGCTTCTATTCAAAGGCTAGGGCACTGAGCACACAACTGTACAGATTATCATAGAAAGTCAACCTCATTAATGATGACGCTTCATTATTAACGGTCTGCTGAAAAATGGATTTCCTTTTCAGAAAGGAAAGACAAGGAAATATAAGTTGGGGAGGGTGGATAATCTGTTGTAGCAATCTGTTTGATTTTCAATTTGATACTTTTTTTTCTTTCATTACAATATAAGTACCTTTGTTACAAAAGGAATCATTCAATACAACATATACTCAGACTAATTCACGAGACAATCAGGTTTATTAGAAAGACCATGGACTAAGGTACAAACTCTATCAAAGTGGCTTTCTCCCGCCTAGCGATACCATAAGTTTATGAATCTTATCTGAAAGTTGTTTACGTTTGTACTTCATTTTGTTACAGCCAAAGCCTGTAAAGTATTATTTTAAATTAACTTAGTCAGACGCCAAAAATTATCTACATGTTGCCCTTAAATACATATTACACCTTCCTGGCTTAATAACCCCTATGCGACAACTTTGATTAATAGACAGCCCATGCCAGCTGCATGTGCTATGGTAAAACTGAAATGGAACGCCTCCTAGGTAGCTATTGCAGCAATACTTATATAAGCCTCATATGTCAACTAGCTTGTCTACAAACTTTTGAGTCAAAATAATCAGCTTGTTAAGACTTTTAGCACTTAGACGTTTGGTTAATCATGGGCTTCTTCTCTGTTACTGAGCGGGACTGAAGCGAAAGCCGGCTTGGTTGCGGGACATCAAAACCTGTTAAAAAAAGTGTAAACGTGTTGGTCGAGCTCTAAAGATAGAAGAAACACATTCGGTATGTAGGTAGACGGAATATACTTCACTGACTGTACATGGGAGGTAAATTTTCTTAGTTCTTGTAAACATCTAAGCAAAGTTTAATCCACTGGGTATAAATTGATTTCTTAGCTTATAAAAAAGCAGTTTACTTGAGTTTGAATGTATGTATTTAGCAGAAGTTTTGATTAAGAATAGTTTTCTATAATTCCCTTCGTGGAAAAGCGGCCGCCATGTTTGCACATGTGGCTATCTGAGCCACGCGAAGGTCTAGCCGTTTCTAAGACAAAAGGTAGCTCCCTGAGTATTGGTTCGGCCCTGGGGATCCAACCCAAGACCTCCCGCTTTGCGGTCAAGCGCCCTACCATCCCACGAGATATGTCCAGAAATGCAATCGCCATTCTCTAAGAGGCCACTTTTGGCATCTAATCCAATTTCCAGCCCTCTGGCGATTTTTCGCCATTTTCGCCATTGCATGCATTGCTGGACATAAGTGGCGGTTCCCACCATGGTCAAAAATGATAATAATAAAATAATCATTTCAAATAACAAACGTTTAGTGTAGCCATCCAAAAAAAGTACTTTGATGGGGAGGTAAAACCCTGTAGTGCAAAAAACAAAACAAAACAAAACAAAAAAAGTATAGTCTGCGTGGCGAAAGGGAAGGGAAATAAAAAAAAAGGGGGATCTTGGAGGTTAGTCTCGCGCCCAAAATACTCCTTTTCCTGAATCTTCGAACGCCTGCCACGGAGGCTAAAAAAAAGTACCGCAAAGACCGATGACTTTTAAATTATAGTAAGGAATAGGGCGTTTAGGGGCTTGGCGGCTCCCCCCCCCCCTTGGCAAAATGTCCAATATATTAAAGCGAGATATCCCCAGGAATGCAGGATACTAATGACATTCATACCCACCCTAGCCCTAATCCTTATTAAGCAAGGAATTCTGTCTAAATAAAGTTATGGAAATTAGATTACGAAATGTGAAAATTACTTGGTTATAAGGAAGCATATAAAATGCGTTTTTTATTACTGGCGTTATTGCTGGCGTTATGTTTTATCCATAAAACTAGGAAATCTTTGCTACTCGTGTGGGCTGGCGACTCATAAATTTAATCACATATAACACCAACAATGTTGGTGGAACTCGAGTTAAATTTACCTGATTTCTTTCCTCTCTTTCGACATTCCCAGATGGCGCCAATGATGAAAGCTAAGACGATTGCACCAACCACAGCGCCAAATGGAATAAGGTACTGCGAAAGATCTGTGAAATAAACCCACTTGAACTCAAACTTCCGATTGTCTTGTTTCTCCAAGAACTCGTTGCAGGTCCTGTGCATCTTTGTTTCACTCCCATGGCTTTCTTGCGAATACGTCATGTATTTGCGGTCCGTCCTCATTTTTAAGCATCTGAGAAAATTCAGTTCAGTATCGATCTTCCGGTACTCATCTGAAGAAGGTGTGTGAATTCTAAAGTTAACTTTCGCACCAACTTGACATGCTGGCATAAACTGGAGCACCTCCCAATCTTTCTCTTTTTTTCCATCACAGTGGAATATCACTATTGAGTCCAGCTGATCTGAGTGGTCCAGCGCTGTTTCATTCTCAATCTCTGCAAAGGGACAGAGTCAGGAAATAGCAATAGCCAACTCTCGATATATTAAAACGGAATCCACCAGGAAATTGAGTAACTTTAATTTTCCGTGGACAAAAACCTTGTACCAGGATAATTTAAGGAATATTGCATCCTTTTTTACATTTTTCAAGGGCTAAAGATTTAATTAGTCATCTGTAGTAACACCAAAGAAAATTTGTCATGGGAGCCCCGAGAAACTAAATGTCAAATTTTACAAGAATTGTTAAATTACAGGTAAAATTCTGAAAATTTTATGTCGGTAAGATGTCATTTTGAGGAAAATTGGACATTTATTTTCTCGGGCTCCCATGACAAATGTTCTTTGGTGTTATTACTGATAACTAATTACATCTTTAACCCTTGAACAATGTAAAAAAGAGTTCGATATGCTTGAAATTAATATGGTACAAGGTTTTTGTCCACTGAAAATTAAAATTACTCAATTTCCTGACGGATTCTGTCTGAAAATTCTAACATGTCTCCGAGGCTGTCCGGATACATTTCATATTTTTTCGGTTTTCTTTGTACTCAAGTCTCTTCTGGGGTTGCGAGACAGAGTCATGCAAAATTTGCAATTTTGTCCGTAAAGCCTTGGAGTCATGTTAGAATTTTAATATCGAACGTGGGCTATCATCCGGACTAATCTCCCAGTAAAATGTTAAAAAATATTTTATTGCGCATGCAAGTATGCACGTTATCCTGGCGTTACAGTTTCGTTGCGCAAGGGACGCTACGTAGGATCAATGGGAGAACGCAAAGATCGGGAAACCATAGCATCACGATGACGCCAGTTTTCGAGTGACAGGGCATAGGGTGGGGATTTGACTTTTTTCAAAAATTTGCAATCAAATTCCCTGCCCACGGGCAAATCATTCCAGTCAAATGCAAAAAAATTTGCCCACCCCAGAATGCACACTGCTGTCGATCCCAAGGCAGAACCTAAGAAAGGCACAACAAAAATATCTCCAAATAAAACTCTGCAATCTTTTATAAACGTTGCTGCATCACCAAAGATACATGTTCCTGTTACAGCTGCAATTATACGTTCTAACCATAATCCGTGTTACACTGCGTAGAATACATAAACCTTTCGGAGGAAGTCCGTTCTTAGTAAAGGGTAAAAGAAAGTCCGTTTTATAAGTTTACAGTGATGGTAGCGAATGAGCCACACACTAATCAATTGTACTTGCAAAAATCGACTTGGTTTCTCTTTACTTCCGTTTACTTTGATACCACAGTATTTTAAGAGGTTCAATTGATCAAAAACACGCTAAAACAAGCGAAATTTGAAGACAAAACAGTGAAATCCACTCAGCCTTCGCTTGTTTTCATTGGCCTTCATGACTTCCTGATCTTTTCAAACCGTATGGCGCATGCGTGAAGCGTGGAAGGGGGAAACATATGTTCGGTCTCAGTCTTTTTCGTCCGAGTCGGCAGTCAAATATCTCCACGTCGGGCGAAGAAAGATTCAAATATCCCTTCCCCCGGGAGAACAAGATCAGTCAAATGCCCTACCCCAGGGACAACAAAGACAATCAAATCCCCACCCCATGCCCTGCCTCCCCCCCCCGCCGGCATTACATTGATAGGTGCATTACAAGGGCTACAGTATTATTTTCCCGAAAATATTAGGTGCAATTTAACGTATTACGAAGGAGAGAATTTTTCTGATTCCCCTTTCCGTCACATTTTTGAATCCGAAAATTTTAGGTTTCCTTTGTTCTAAGAAAAATAGCCTAACCTGGGGAGTGAAATGTGAAAAATCAAACCTCCGAAAATCGTGGAGAATTTACTAGTTGAGCTTCCGCAAATTCGGCAATATTTGCTTCTCCGAACGGATATTTTACAGAAAACAGTCGTTGGGTACCCCTGGCGTACTAGGAAAGAATAAAAAAATCATCGTGTTTGAACTCTTCCCCCTAGACGTTTTCATATACACTCACAAAAAGCAGTCATAAATACCTTCCACTCTAGAATACGTCATCTGGTAGTCAACATAATCAGAACCGTAAAGGCTCGGCGGTACTCCAATCTGCGAAATGAATGAATTCATAAAAACCTCTTTCTCAAAAAAGTGGTCACAGAGCACTTGATATTGATATCTCTGAGTCTGGCAATCAAAAATTCTAGTCAAACGTTTTTTGGAGTAGAAAACACACGCAAGCCTAACTAGGGATGTTTTAGTTTGGGGGATAGCCTGAAGTAAGTTAAGCAAGTGAAAGACATCAACACCGAACAAGGGGGGCTTTAATTTGGGGAGGAATGCCAAGTTAATGTATCATGTCAAAGACTCCACGACATGTCCTGTTGTCTTGATTTCAGCTTAGCTTTGGTTTGGGGGGATAGCCAACTCCATTAACGACAAAAAGGATGACCGTGAAAAGCTAAAAGTTACGGTTTAATAGAAACAACTACATACTCGCTTACCATGATAATATGGCTGCCGAGAGCACGAGTGAACAACAACAAAGTATAAGGCGCATGCTCGCCTAACAACACCCGCTGGCAAAAGTAAATAATAAAATGTGACAGACATCACAGTGTATCCTTTTGTCTTTTTCTTAACACCCTTGCAAACTATAGTAAACCAAGTCAGAAGTCAAGCAATGTATCCTGAAAAAAAGAGAGAAAAAGGAAAAGAAGGGAAAAATCCGGTTTACCTTTTTACCAAATAAATGGTGATCACTCCTTAGTTCCTGAGCTGTTAGACGGGACGACACTTGGGCAGTAAACATGGACAGCAAAATGATGCCCGAAACCATCCATACTATTGCAAAGAGTCGAGCTAACAGTGACTTGGGGGTCTTGTCTCCATACCTAAAATAGAAAAAAGCACTTATCACCAGAGGCGACCCAGACGTAGTATGTGCCACTGAATGAATATATTAATATTCACATGGACAAATTAATGCGATAAGTCGTCGAAACTCCAATGAACTAAAATAGTCCAAAAGTCAACATATAACAAAACAAAGCTAAGATATCTTCAAATGAACGTATACTTGTCTTTCCTGGCCGGTTAAAGTGGCATTTTGTTGAGTTTTGCAATTGTAGGTACTATCTACTAAAGAAGAATTAAAGGCTGGCTACAAAACAAACAGACCATCTCCACGCGCCTTCACACGAAGCGCTATAAATTCGAGAATAATAGACGAATCCGCTCCAAATAACCATCGGCTAATCTGCAGGTAACGTGTGCTCCTGCTTCTGGCTCGCTTGCTCCACAAAACCCATCGCAAGTGCACAATAATTGCTCGCTCATTAACAACCACTGTTGACCTTTACGCTTCGATATGACCGCAAACGACCAGGTTTAATACGCGACGTGAATATTCAAGCTTAGCGACCGCGTTCGCGCAACAACGCAGCACTTGCTATGGGAGGGATGGTACTATTGCTTCTAGGTCAATCAATCGGTAAAATAATATTGAAGCCCTTGTAATTTTTAAAAAGATCCAATTTGCCCTAGGATCACCGAACAGATACGAATCTTATAGCGGAGCTAAAAAAAATGGGCAGCAGTAGAAAAAGTGAACAAAAACATGGACCACATTTTCTCCATAAAAAGCGAAAACCAGGAAGTTTTCTGTACGTTTCAAGTTGCAGTCATGCAAATCAACGGCAAGGAAATGTACAAGAAAGTGTGCTGCAATTAGACCTATTGTTGTTTTTCACAGTTCTGGTCAAGGGCATCCAACTTTTAATTTTTCACATTTCACTCACCGGGTTAGGCTATTTTTTGTAGAGAGTGAAATGGAATCCTAAAATTTTCGGATTTGAAAAATGTGATGAAAGAAGGTATCTGAAAAATTATCTCCTTCGTAATGCGTTAAATTGCATCTAAAATTTTCGGGAAAATAATTCTGAATTCCTCGTAATTTCGAAAGACTCAAGTTCCTCTAGAATGGCCGAACACTGAGATGCAAATTTTATAGCGCCACTTAGAATGCATTTCTATAGAGCTAAAAGTACTTTATGAATAGCTACAAAAGTGTTTTCAAAGTATTTGAGGAAACAGTCGTTGGGTGGCCCTGTCTCGTTGCCTTCTCCGCTTCGCATTACACGATATATTTTATATTTAGTATGAGCAAACTATAAATCATTAGCTTTGCTTTTAGCCCTCTTGACTAAATTTTATGTAAGAGCTGTTTAGAATGCATTTTTAGATCAAAAGTACTCTGGACATCCTGGACACCCTGTGTTTTCAATGCATTTAGGGGGAAATCATCGTTGGGTGCCCCTGAGTTTTGAGAATAATAATAATAATAATAAAAGATATCGCGCACATAAATTTTACTTTACGATATCTTCAGTTGTATCTTCTGTTCAGTTGTATAGCCGGGGCCAGATTTTGCCTTTTTCCTGGGCGGAAAATTCTCGTCCTCCTTCACCAGTTTGGACAACATATTATGGAGTAAGACGTTGTTAATCTAAGCAAATAAGTCTGGTAGAGTCAAGAACCTATGCAAGCGGCTGGACGAACAATGTGACAGCAGCTGAGACAGCGAACGTTAGAAGAATTCGAACTTGAAAACCAGGGCTGCCCTGTTGAAAACTTACGGACGGTCCCGCGATCGCCTTTTGTTTTCTGGTCAAAACTAACGCAGCGAACCTTCGGTCAGTGTCGATTGACCTAGAAGCAATAGTACCATCCCTCCCATAGCAAGTGCTGCGTTGTTGCGCGAACGCGGTCGCTAAGCTTGAATATTCACGTCGCGTATTAAACCTGGTCGTTTGCGGTCATATCGAAACGTAAAGGTCAACAGTGGTTGTTGATGAGCGAGCAATTATTGTGCAGTTGCGATGGGTTTTGTGGAGCAAGCGAGCCAGAAGCAGGAGCACACGTTACCTGCAGATTAGCCGATGGTTATTTGGAGCGGATTCGTCGATTATTCTCGAATTTATAGCGCTTCGTGTGAAGGCGCGTGGAGATGGTCTGTTTGTTTTGTAGCCAGCCTTTAATTCTTCTTTAGTAGATAGTACCTACAATTGCAAAACTCAACAAAATGCCACTTTAACCGGCCAGGAAAGACAAGTATACGTTCAGTTGAAGGTATCTTTTTTAGTTAGCTTTGTTTTGTTATATTTTGACTTTTGGACTATTTTAGTTCATTGGAGTTTCGACGACTTATCGCATTAATTTGTCCATGTGAATTTTAATATATTCATTCAGTGGCACATACTACGTCTGGGTCGCCTGTGTTATCACCAGTTGTATTAAATTGATTCTCTGCCACTGACACTTTGATAGACCTGAACGGGTACGCGCTGCAATCATAGTTTGCCCATCTGACCTTTTTCGGCGTTCGCTACATCAGAAACGAGAAGAGAGCTGGGGTCCATTTCTCGAAAGTCCCGATAACGTTTCGGGCCCGAAATCAAATATTCAAATCGAAATATAAAGAATAAGAGCGCGGGTCCTGGCTAGAAAACTATTCCATTGTTTTTCACTAACTGATCGTTTTATCATGTTAGATGCAAAACTATTGAAACCTCTGTCTTGTATGTAATCAACAACGGCTTTACGGGCCCGTTAATTATCTGGACTTTCGAGAAACGGGCCCCTGGAACCGAAATGAGTCCCGTAATTGTTTCTGGGGTCGTTACTGTAGACGCGCAGGTCAGCTATTTCCGGCTCTCTACTCAGCTTGGTGCTTTAAAAGGAAAATACACGTCTACACCTGTAAGTGTATACGATTTCTTAGAGAGGCAAGATCGCAAAATAGACCTTTTTACGGATACGGCGGCCATACTTAAAGTTTTCTTAGAATAAGATTGTAATGGGAAAAAAGATCTTTGTGCCGTGTTTGGATGTAATAATGATCGCCTTTTTTCCGAGAAATATACAGTGAAAGATTACATTCTAATACTAAACTAGAAAAAGGCGATCATTATTACATCCAAACACGGCACAAGGATCTTTTTTCCCATTACAATTTTATTCTAAGAAAACTTTTAAAAAAAATGTCCCGAAAAGCACTCGAAAATACAAACGAAATGTGCTCATGCCCCCTGGGCATCCTATAATACTCCTTAAATCGAATTAATTCAATGTGGCCGTTGTTTCGGTAAAAAGGTCTACTATTAACAAAGTTTCAAACTCCAGAGAACGTCCACTCCTATCTATAATGCATCGTGTTAAACCGTCTAGCTATGAAAATATGAAATGTTAAGTCGATTGAATATATATTTCCGTATGAATATATGTAGTTCTTGGTGGGGCGGTTGTTGGCAGATGGTGATCAAGCTGTTGACGTCTTATCCATCTATCAGTAGTGCGCGCGTGTCAATTTTTCTGTTTCATATAACTACTTCATTCTACGACCCATTTCATCAATTCAATTTTCTTTTTTTGTTTATAATTTGTCCCTAAACGTTTTGAGGCCATATTTTTCTGGTTTCATTATTGCTATCATTCATCTGATCCCACACGAAAACAGTATAGCTTTATTACTGAAGACATCTGGTTTTACGAATTGCCAGTCGCTCCAAGAGCAATGCAGCCACCGAATTTTGGGGGGGTGAAATGAAAAAAGCGTAAAATGACATTCTGACGGGATGAATAGTATAAAAATTATGTAAAACGTTCTCAACATTCTTCTCGTGTTCTTACCCAACAGTTGCCATGGTTACGATGGCCCACCAAATTCCATCAAAAATTCCCCGCCAAAATCGCTTAGGAAACTGCTCCGGATTTGATCTGCTGTCCTTTGAAATGAAGCAGTAGCTGTTAGAAAATTGTAGCTAAAAAATTGATTTATCATTATTTTCAAAGAGTCGGCGAATATTTTGCATTCATTTAACTTTAGTTAATTATTAATATGGTTATGTCGGTCGAATCTTATTTTTTGCTAGAAATATACATATATTTTAATCTCTAGTCTTAACAGTTTTCTCTTGAAACATTTAAAACGTTAAAACCAAAGGCGCTTTGATTTAGGCCTGTTTCAAACGTCGTGCTACTGCCGTGCCGAACTCAATTCAATCGAATTAAATTCGACTTTAGCACGGCAGTAGCGCGACGTTTGAAACCAAGTCGTGCTACTACTGTGTAGCACGGCAAAACCAAGTCGTGCTACTGCTGTGTAACACGCCAAGGCTTGCCGTGCTACACGGCAGTAGCTCGACTTCGTTTCAAACGTCATGCTACCGCCGTAGCGAACTCAATTCATAAATTATGAATACATTAGAATACATATAAAAGTTTGTTAATCCGTTTCTTTATTTTTGTGTTTTGTCGGCAACAGCCGTTCTATTCGACTGAATTAAATTCGACGTCTGAAACCAAGTCGTGCAAGTGTCGTGCTGCAGTCGAGATACAGTCGAGCCAGCTTAGCACGGCAGTAGCACGACGTTTGAAACAGGCCTTATTTTGAAGTCGCTTAAAGTTACGATTCACTGAAGGTAACCCTTGACTCTGTTACAAGAAAGACCTCGTGCAAAAACAACTTACAAGTATCCACACTAGAATTCCCGACAGTGCAGCACATGAGAAGCATAGCACTAGAAGAGGCCATAACTCCAAAATGGCCATGTAAGCGATTTGGACAAGGTCATGTTTTTTCCTTCGTCTCACTAGGACTGGCAGTATAGTTTCCAAGGGCAAAAAGCCATCCTCGGCATCTCCTTTCACTCCAAAAACTGGAAAATCTATCTCTATGGGCCTCTGGTTGGTATAGTTAGGTTCGATGCAGTGCCTTGAAGTATTCTGCAAGAGTTTTTTCCATGTTGCTAAACGATTTTTGAAGTCGGCGGAGAAAAACGGGATATCGTGCTCATGAAGAGTTATATTTACCGAATTTTTCGGTTTATTAGGCGTGTTCGAATTATTCACATTAAGAGTACTTTCCGGTGTAGTTGGTCTCATGGCTGAATTGGTAGCCGGTCGGTTAGAGCTAGTACTGGTCATGGCAGGAGTACTTTCCGTGGTAGTTGGTCTCACTGCTGAATTGGTTGACAGTCGACTGTTAGAGCTAGTATTAGCGCTGGGAGCTATATTGCTCCCATGGATACTTCCATTAGCTCCTCCTTCAGCTACAGCTTCTCGGTAACAACATAAAAGACTCAATAATGTCAGAGTGATCAACATCTTTTTTGTTATACGGGACCGTGCCTTTTCAGTGTAAATGCTATCGTTGCACTTCAATGGATAAGCGACAATGGAGTCGCTCTTGGCAATGAACTCTTGCTTTTTTATTTCTAGGTGATGCAACCTTTGTTAGTCATTATGTGTATTTTCTATAGATATTGGAATAATTGATAAGTGGTGAATAAAGTTGCCATTACCCAAATAGCATGATTAATTGTTCCTTAGAAATAAGCGACTGATGCAAGGAAACAATTTAACCCGCTGATTTATCGGTTAAGAGGGCGTAATAATATCAATCTAGAGGCAAATATTTGAAACCAGCTTTAATTTTGAGCCATTTAACTTTTAAACAAAAACATTTATTCACCAGGTGGGCTTCTCAGTGTGGAGGACATTTATGTTAATTTGGATCAGCTTCTGCCTTTAAAATTTTAATCTTGAGGAGGAATTAATCAACTTTCTGTCTGTTGAACAGGCTTTTGACACGGCAAACAAGAAAACCAATTTTTAGCCCACTTACGCAATAAACAATTTACGTGACCCTTGAGCTTAGAATACAACCGCAAACTTTTTATTTTTCCTTTTGGTCTTTTTTGTTGGTTTTTTTTTTCTTTACGATTGACGACCAGGAGTTTTCAAACTTTGCTGCCTGAGCTTGTTTTGTTTGTTATTCGAAATAATATTTATGGCCGCCGAAAATTTCGTTTTCGTAAGTCTTGTAAATGTAAATGTAAATATCATATTACTGGCTCTCCCCTCAGGGCTTTTCAGGGATAATTTACAACACTGGTTGGGGGACTTTTTGCCAGACTGCTTAAGGTGCAGTTTACAAGTAATGAAGGAATGAGTAATGATACCCCCATACATGAGTGTGAAAGTGAGATAGATCACTACACCGGGCACTACGTGCCCTACTCTTTACGAAGAGTGTGTGGGTTCTTTAATGTCCCACAGATTTTATATTACATGTGTAAGGGCTTGTGAGACGGGGCCTAGGGTTTATCGTCCTTATCCGAGAAGACTAGAAAGTCAAACCTTCTGTAGATGTTATTACAAAGGTAGCACTTTCTCCTCAGTTATTTAAAGACCCTGAGTGTTGGTCCGGCCGGGGTTTGAACCTACGGTCTCCCGGTCAGCTGCAGACCGGCGCTTATCCCATTGAGCTATTAACGGGCGGCGGAGTGCATTTATGAGATATGCTATGTTTCGAAGATTTTTAGGAAATTGCTCTTACATTGCTTCAAGAAAACTGATATAGCCGGATATTACTTCCGTGGAACTATCATTCAAAAAATCCTTTTTACTCTCGGAGTATGTGTCTTAGCTTCAATTCCACGTCAGGTTATGTTGTGGTTTACTTTTGGCCTTGGTCTGAATTTCATTTTTCTTTGTCTTTAGGTATGATAATGAGTTTGAAACAAACGAAAACGAGAATTAAACCATGGACAAAATTGAACCGCAACACACACTGCTACGAGAAACTACACTAGCACTGTCTGTAACTTCCACGGAGGACGAGGTATTTCGAGCTCAGCATGGGATAGCAGCCGTGAGTATCTGTATAGAACCCCAGCTTTTTTTTCAACCTAGACCATGTATCTTTGTTGTCCGTATTTAGAGACAAAATTTCACATTACCTCGGAGTGGCCAGAACAAAACAGGATTCATATTTTCTCAGCGCCACCGTGAAATATTCTCTAATTATTTGCATGCCATGAAAATTGTTTTTCATTAAGGATGCCAGAAAGGGACCTTAACCAACGACGACGACGACGGCAGTGAAAACATTACTAAAAAAAATGAATTTGCGCCCTTTCAAACTTTATCACGTCTGTTTGGAACCGCTCAATTTATCAAATGTGGGCGACTTTTCTAAGAGTTGAATTCTTAAGGGCTTTATCCATGTTCAAACAGAGAAGGAAAAATTTGTCGTAGTATGTCCACGTCCTCCATAAAACGTCGCATTGGGAGGTTTCACGTCGTAGTCGTGCAGTAGACGTCAAAGAAATGTACTAAAAAGCGTGATGCACATGCAGAGCAGTTGTTTTGCTTATAAGCCAATTGTTTTTTTTGCGTTTTTGTTGTTGTGGTCGTCGTCGTTGCTTTGGATTCCTAAAGACTTCACGGAACTTATAGTCATTTATACCCAATTTACACGGGCTAAAAAGATCGGCACGTCACGCCAAATTTTTTGCACCGTGCTGACGATTTTAAGGCACGGCATTCCCAATTCTCGACGTGTAAACGTATCGGTCCCAGACGTAATGTGGCACCAGTGCTCAAAATTTTAGGGGTGCCGAGACTACCTCCCGGAGGTAAATGGGGTTTAAATTAAAGAAATACGCTAGCGAACTATGAAAAATTGTGTATCATTTATTGAAACATCTGAAAATTTGTGTATTATTTCTTGAACATCTGAAAAATTGTGTATTATTTCTTGAGCATCTACGCAAAATTCTCAGGCTAGCAAAAGCTGTGATTTAGTTAACTATAACACTCGTCATTAGAGATCAAGCCACGCCTTAGCGCCTTGGGCCTCGGGGGAGAACACTGACCCTCCTCGATATCCATAATTCTTTAGCGGCCAACTCAGTCTCGCCCAATTTTTGCTAATTATCTTTACTTGGGTCTTGTTACAGTGAATAAATAGATGAAACAATCTATACCGCAATAATTCAGCGAAAATTGGAACGGGTTCATGCAGGCACTCGCAGCAAGTATCCATAACTGGTTTTAACTTCTTTCATCGTTATGCATAATTTTATTACTGACAGTGAAAGAAACAGTATGATTACTCGAGGCTCAGACTATCATAGCCATAACACCCGCTCCACGGAAACTGTTAGATCTATTAGATCAAACACGAACTGGGGTCTACTCAGATGCTTTAAAAGTAAATTGACAGACTGGAATTCCCTTCCAGAAGACATGAGATGTCTACCTTACAATGCTTTTAAAATTTCATTACTTAAACGTTTTAAATCTCAAGAAGTTCGCTTAGTGTGACATTTTTTAGTTCATCTATTTTAATATTTTGTCATTTTTAGTACTGTCACAGTAGTTTTTAGTTTTTATGCAGTACCCTATTGAAAACCAGATTATGTGACATAGGCCATCTGTAAAAAGAACTTCGGATCCTTATTACTATTGTTATTATTCTTAACTTGTTTTGTTTCTTAGTTTTAAACTAATACAACCGTTTTGTCATTCTATTATGGACACTAATAATATAGATGGAAAACGTCTTGAATTTAACTGACTGAGAGCAATGCAGCCTTTTGAAAAACACATTGCAAAACTAAGAAATATAATGCTAATACCTCACAGAATGGAGCAACTGTGATTGGGTAACTAAAAAAATATGAAAACCAATAAGGTGCTGCATTTTAAGGGCAACCTAAACATTGCTTAACATAAGTGTACAGTTTCTAAGGTGGCCGTTATTAGCAGGTTCCACTGATAATGACTGGCCAAGAAATTTTTTTCAAAGGGAAATCATATCACCTTTCTTGTTCAATTTGGAATTGAGCTGCATATCGTGCTATTAAAAAAAAATAAAAACACATGAGATTCGCCTGTTATTTTGATCCTTTTTGAAAAACTGCAAATAATTCGATAAGGTTGCGTTCGTTTTGACCAATCTAAATCCGGCGGATTTTGCGATCTGATCTATGGATCAATCTTATTTCAGATAGTTGTTCCTGCAAGCAGGAAAATCCAAACAATCTGGATTTTCTAAATTCGAAAAAAGTTTGGCTAAAAGGAATGCAACCTTTATGTGCTTGTTCCCAGAGAAGCCTCTGTCCCAGTTCACAAGTTTCAATATTGACCACGTCGCCACTAATTAAAAAGGCAAGTGGCTATCTCGAGTTCCAGAAACCCCAACTTTCAAAACGAGGCAAAGGCGAAACCTTTCTTCTTTGCCATCACTCCACGACTACGACGTGAAACTATTAAATTTCATGTTTTATGGAGGACGTGAACACAACACAACGATTTTCTTTTCCTTTTTGTGAACTTAGATACATTCCTTTAGAATTCAACTCTCAAAAAACTCGCCAACATTTGACAAATTAAAAGAGTTGGAATAAGAACGATGAACTCTGAAACAGCAAGAATTTATTTTTCGGGTGACGTTTTCGCCACTGTTACCGTTGTCGTTGCTTAAGCTCCCTATATGACACGCCATTCCCTATTTCACCTGCGTTCGTATTTCTCAGCCCACTGCTGGGAGGTTTTTAAAACCAGACATTGCTCAAGGGGCGGGGGCGAGGGGACACAAAAATATTTACACTAAATGTCTACAAATAACTACAAACGACTAAGAACTCAGTTTGTCTTCATCACAATATTGTCGTTTCATGGGACTGATTCACTCAACTGTTCCCTTCTCCACGTCAACATCGCAGCCTGTAGAAAGACAAAGTTGAGAATAATTAATGACCTGATTTAAGCGCTGCTAGGTTGGAAAAGTCGTCCAAAGTATTACTTACGAATAAGCAAACCCCTTAGGAGTGTCATATGGCAGTGGCGAGGGCTCAAACTTTGCGTACCCCTCGACCCCTCTCTCCACTAACATGTGCCGAGAATGTTATATAAAAATACTTTCTATATTTACTATGAGCACATGAAACGATCTTTTAACTGTCGTTTGTAAAGAATAATGTCAAAGCGTAAAGGTGTGATGTGGCCAAACAAAAGGGAATACAATAAAGTGAGCTCGAGCGAGTGCCTACTTCATGATGAAGAGCACTAACGCACCTTCATATGGTAACTTAATGAAATAAAACCTTGTTGAGCATTTTAGAATAACAATGCAATATGACAGACTTAGAAAGCGTCAGTGACTGTAAGTAAATGCCGGGAGAACAATAGCCATTTATAAAACAATGGGTCCTTTGCACAATACTGTCACATGCTACGAAAAGCACTTTGCTGGCTGGCAAACAAAGCAGTGGGTTCGCAATGGGGCCTTCAAAAGAAATGATTTTAGCCTATTGAATGATGTATCATTCTCTTTGCTCTTGTTGCCCTTCTTCTTCTTTTGGTATTCATCAAGGTGATTTTTGTACCATCACGCCAGGGCTAAACAGCCCCCAAATCGGTCATCAAAGTCTCTAAATTTTACAAAAAATTTGTTGGCTCTAACTCTTTCCTTACTAAACGTGGCCTGAAAGTACAAAATATTGAGCCAATCAAATTGGCATAAATTTTGACTTCAAGATGTGGCTTCACAATTGCTGACGTCATTCATACAAAAATTTTAATCTTTAGAACCTTCCCATTTTTTATTTCAATTTCAAAAGAACTGTTCAGGGAAAGCTGAAAGCTGAAAAGAATTTTTCAATATCTCAAAAATTAGATGAGATATGAAATTTGGAATTTGATTAAATTCGTTCCACAAAAACAGGTCGTCTTGTAAAATAAGTCTAAATTTAAGCATTTAATTGACGTGTCAATATTGCTATTTAATATAAACATAACACACCTTTATTGTCGAAAGCTAAAGAAAAAACAACATTTTGAAGAAGGAAATTCCTAACTGCGTAAAAGCACAAGAAACAGTTTTGTGACGTCATTAAAATGTCAAGTGATCATTTTTTGTTTCGCCTAAATTAGCGTTTTTGTTTCAAAAAGCGAAACCTTGAATGATACGATTTTGGCAACTTTAAAAGGCTTATGTAGCCGTAAAATCAGCTTATTTTGCAAAAAATGTAAAAAATAAATCAAAGGGTTCGTTTTTTAGGGAAAAGGTTCTAGGGGGTGCTCTAAAATAACTTTTACGACTTCTACGTATCGTAGCTAAAGCGGTTTTCAGCGTTTTACTCCCCTTCTAATTCTCTTTCAGATGATAGAAGTTTAACTTTGAAATTAAAAATTAATTTAACCCATTTTCGTGACGTCCGTCCTTGTGACGTCATGATTTGACATTTTGCGTCAAACAAAAACTTAAAATTACCAAGTCAACAATTGAAGTCTACCCGGCAAAGAAATGTAAAAGATATGTAAATTTAGCCTAAATGACCGATTTGAGGGGTGGTTTGGTCTCTTCTGCCAAGGGCTCGTTACGACACTAACCTTTGTTCTCCGGTTTTCTTTCTCGCAGCTTTGAGAAAGTGTCCCATAGTATCCCCATCATTAGGCAAACACCAAGGACTCCTCCACAGGTACACAGCAAATAATCATCAAATTTCATTTGCTTCTCAGGCATCCACTGTATACTGTGAGCGTTTTTACCTATGCTGTGACTTTGATAACAGAGTGACTGTGCAGAGTTCAAGAAGAAAAAGACGAAAACGTTTTTAGAGTTTTCCCTTGATAATATTTACAAGGGTTGAAAGTCAATTACGCTTTATAACATTTTGTTAAAAGAAAAAATGAGATTTTACAATGGCGTTTGAAAAGTATTGCACATTCGAGCCACATATAAGTTAAGAATGCAGCTGCGTTAACTTTCTCACAAGATGGCGTTTTTTCGGACACACCTACACTACTGCTAAGTCATCACCTGGGGGGCCAACGAGCCAAAGATCTCAAAGGGAAGGATCCATGTCAACCATATCTCGCCAGAAACGTTCAAGAAACAGGCGGGCGCTTCATTACCCTTGATTTCTTAGTAGTCGCAAAAAATATGATGAATTAATTTAGAGAAAGGCTCTGATTACGGTAACATTTAGCCAGGGCGAAAAGCGAGGCTCCCATTAATATATTTATAATTTAAATCAAGCAATAAACTTGTATTCCACAATTCAGTTAGCTTTAGAGCACATAGCTCATTCATGTGACTGTTGAGGGAAAGGCTAAGTGATTTTGAGAAAAATAATTTGCAAACAGCCAAGGGTAGACAAAATCTTACATCGAGTTGATAACCTCATCTGTACACCTTAAAAGCAGTAATCATCTTCAATCACATTTAAGAGCCATAATGGTTCTTGATCACCGTAGATTATTTAGGCCTGGAAAAAATCAGGCCGAATTTTTTGCGTTCGACAAGTTTTAACACTTTACACACTTGCCAACAAATCTGGGTGCGTGTAAACCAACCTTTTATACCATTTATACGTCACATCTGAGGTGAAACAGTACTATGAGGTACTGTTTTTATCATACAGACCTCGGACATAATGTAATATTTCACAATTTTGCAATACAAATTGCACTCATTCAATATTCGGGACGATCGAAGCACGCGTGGGCTTTTAGCTATAAAACCGGTAAAAAAAATTCCAAAATAACATATACGGCCACCCGGTTCTTACTTTTGCTTGTTACTTTTGTTCACTTCAGACTTTTCAACCCTTTCGCATCAAGCACGGTGAAAAACGAAAACGATGCCATCCAAATCAGATTTCCGACTTTGACAATTGATGTATTTCTCAACCAAAAACCAACTAGCCATGAATAACAGAAGACTCCTGAATTGACTACTAGCAGCTGAATTTCATTTTCTGCATCCAGTGGAAAAAGACAGTTAAAAACATCACAAGTTGACACAAAACTCTGTCAGCTTCAGCTGTCAAGGTAAACAAGATTCAAGATTCCGCATAAATTTTCCGCATGAACTCACCTGTCAAATTTTGACCAATCAGAGCATAAAAATTGGAAGTAGAGCGTGACTAACGCGTGACCATGGTTAGCAAAGTCAAAAAAAACTGTCTTCCCTGCCTGTAAAAGGTGGCTGCATTTTCGCGTCCGAGGTCAGTTTGAAGTCAAAATCTTAATTTTGTGGCACATAAACACAATATATTTCATATGAATTAAAGAGAAATTAAACTTGAGCCTGCGATCATTTGAAAACTAGTAACTTGTCAGCGGATAACCTCAAAAAAAATACTTGACTTCGATGGGTCGACACCTGAGCCCGCGATACGCTCAAGTGATACTGGTCAGCGGATACCCTGTTTTGACAGCTGCCAATTGATCACAACATTGATGTCCGATGTCCAAAATGTGTGCATTATCAACTGTGCTCCCAAACTAGCTAGAAAGTATGAGATTGAACATTGATCGCGATCTAGTAAAACATTTAGCTGGTCAGCGGACAGTTTCCAAATAAATCACTTCACCTCGATGAGTTGACACATGAGCCCGCGATATGGTCATGTGATACTGATCAGTGGCTATCCTGTTTTGACAGCTGTCAATTGACCATATTGTGAAAAGTGAATGTCCAATATAAAAGATGTGAATTTGCCAAGACATGCCTGAGACACCCCTTCCTTCCTTTTGATAGTCTCCCCTACCCCACCCGTACAATCTGTAGACGTGTAAGCTCGGTCAATCTCGTGACAACCAAACGAAAAGCAGCTGACCATATTCCATGAGTCGCGCGCGTGGGAGCCCCGCTAAAATTCAAAAGGAATTCATGAGTTAAAGGTGTTTTCAATCCTGGGCGGTGTACTCTCTTATGAGCCTATGCGGGAATAACTGCACTAACAGAAAAAAATAAATCGAATTCGATCACAGTAATATATGTCGGTTTCGAAAAGAATTGTTGTCCACACAGATTGCATCACTAACCCACCCCACCTCTCCCTCCAAATACAGCTATCGCTTAGTCCAGTTGCAAATTTTTCATCAGCCTAAGAACCGAATAAACAAAGCTGCTTTGAATATCAGAATAATTTTGATAGCAGCTGGTATTTAATTTGGGGTGACAGTGGAAAAACACGAAAAGTGAAAAACTTGAAAGGACAAAATATTTTTCCTGTAGTCTGCGTATTAAGAGCCTTGCTGAACTTTTCCAAACGCAGCCACTTATGAATCCTTTGCGATGTTTAATCCTCAACCAAAACCATTAAACAAATTAAATCAGCTTTGAATAACAAGAAAAAAATGTTGACGGCATGAAGTTGTATTTTATTTTGTGGAGGCTGAAGAAGAAAATAAGAAAAGTCTCTCTTTATCGGCAAACAAGTTTCAAGATCCTGCATGGTTTTTACGCGTGAACTCACCTGTCAAAATTTGACCAATCTCAGATAATGTAGATTAATCCTGGAGCGTGACCAAACGCGTGACAAGACAAAGGCCAAACTTTAAAGAATTATATTCGAAAATTTTTTCCTAGTAAGTCAAACACAAAAAATATTATATCTAGATTTTTATCGGAGCATCTCCATTGTTTGCTCCCTAACGGCCCCGGTTAATCTATAAACGCCGAGAACAATTCTACTCGTAGCCGTAGAGTCTGTACGAGTTGGCAGGCGATGGACAGGTGCATGTGGGCGTAACTCACTTCATAACCATATTTTCTCGCATCGGTAGGTCTTAATTTCTATAACTTTGGAGACTTCACTATTATTCAAAAATTATTTACGTGAGATTACTCCTCGAGAAAAATGAAAGCCCCATTGCAGGGTGCTAAACATATTCCAAAATGGCGACTGATCTTGATACAGTAACTGTTAGCGGTATTTGGTTTCAATCTTTGGAGAAGAACTTTGATGGGCTCGCTTATACTTAGTAAAAGGTGGTACTAATTGCCTTTTAAGTTGGGATAAGATGAAATCATGTTCTTCTTAATATAAATGTCCATTTTTTCCTTTTATATTTAAATTTCCTAAACTTACCAAATGGTCACCCATTTCATTGTTTTCAATGTTATCCGCTCCTCTTTGCCTGTCTTTATTGCTCCCGTTGTGCATACCATTTGAGCCCGATGACTCGCCGGAAACGTTATATCTAGCAATCGCGTTTGGAGACGTTTTTTTATTTCTTTCTTCCCACTTTTTCATGAGACAAGTTATGAAATTTGAAAGATCTTCAGCTTCTTCATTATTTCGATTCTCCCCGTGTATGACTTGAACTTCTGCCCCGATCGCGACATTCTCACCAGCGTCATTGACTATCAGGATCGGATGGTCGCTCTGGCTTGAACAATTCAATAGCCATACTTTATCCAAATTCTCATTCGAAAGGTTTTGAAATAATTCCCTCTCTGTTTGATATTCTGAAACATAGCGGAATAACCAGATCATGAAAAATCGTATGGTAAAAAATAAAATGATATGGTAAGAATTAAGAAAAATGTGGGTACTACATGTTGGGATGAATCACACTTCAAAACTGCATTCGATAGTTTTAATATATGTATTAAGACAAGATCAAAAGAGAAGCTCTCGTGGGATTTTTAAGAAATACCTTTCTAAAAAATTGACACATGCATTGCTCAAACTCCTCCTGAAAATATTTCTCGACCTTACGATCAATTGAAAACCCATAACTGGTTAGCGGAGAACTTTAAAAATCCGCGTCACCTCAATGAGTTGTAAAATTGCTCACAACATATAGCCATGTGGCTTTGGTAAGCGGATACCCTATTTTGACAAATGTCAATTGACCTTAACATGGATGTCCAACATTAAGTTGAACATAGATTGTAAATATCTTGGACCGCAAGCTAGTGAGTGTGGCATTTCTCGGCATCAGCTAACATATCATATGCGACGGACGTAGGGACCCTGACCGACGATTTTCGCACAACCAAAATTGATAACCAAGTCTTATTACCCATGGGTTCCGCTGGGTAATTTTATTACCCGTGGAGCTCGGCTAAGAAGAGAACCAACGAAAGGTTAAATTTATCGAGCAGCGTCTTATAACGTTGTCAAAAAAGATGGACATCGCAATGCTTCTGTATCGCACTAAGGAAATGCGGACTTGAGGTTTAAACACTAATATATTTTGAGCGGTAACATGGCCATAAACGCTGGAAGTGATTGTTGCTGTAGATCAATGCATCCCTCGTTTCCTTGAAAATAAAAACAAATTAATTATGCATTAAGATAATTCAGTGTACGCAGAGTCACATGCTTAACAATAACAATAACAAGTCTTTTATGACCATTCTTAAATGTTCCTTCAGATCATCAATTGGCTTAACTCGGCTTTTACAAATCCAGCCTCTCTGGGGTGGCGTAATCAGCCTGCCACGGTGGGTTATGAAGGTGTCTGACGATGTGGTGATTTCATTCCCAAAAGTGGAGGATAGATTGTTGTCTTTTGGTAAGCCTTGAGGTGGCTTGTTCATTTAAAGGGTCCCTTGGAATCTTTCTTGGAAGGTTGTCTCGTATTGGACGCCCCAATAGTAACTCCGCAGGTAAGGGGAGCGGACGGTCATCGGGGGTCACAAAGAAGCGACGTGTCAGGGACTTTAACTTTGACTTTGACTTTGTCATGTTTCACTTCAGGAGGGCTAACTTGACTCATTCTACTTGGCTTTCAATAAATCGTACGGGGATAGTGAAGGGTGGTTGTAATGTTTGTAAAGCCTGTCTCTCAAGGGAACTTTTGGAAGGCTCTTGAAATAAGGCCCTTTCGATGTCTGTGTACCTTACCTCGACATCCGTCAGGACTTTGCAGACGAAAACGACGGGTTTCCGGTTCTTGAGTGAGGGCAGCACCTAGGCCTTTCATGGAAGCATCAACTTGTTGAACGGATTATTTCTTTGGATCAAAGTATGTCGAAGTGACTTCGTTGCTGATTGTCTTTGATCTTACTGAAGGACGTTTAATGCCCTGGCTCCATTTGAAAGGGTTGTCCTCTTTCAGGCGCTCACGAAGCGGGGCTGTCAGTACGCGTAGGTTTGGAATAAATGAATCCATGTAGTCTGCTAGCCCAAGAAAGTTCTACAGTTCCTGGCGATTTGTAGGGGGTACACATCTGCTTCAAAGCTGACAATTTGCTCGTGTCTAGCTGGATACATTCTTGACCAAAAATTACTCTATGGAATTTGATCTTCTCTTGTTTCACAAAGCACTTTTCAGGGTTTAGCTTAACTGTGGTATCTATACACCTTTTTAGCATCGCGTGCATGTTGTGTTCGTGCTCCTCGGTGGTTTCCCAGGAAACAACAAAGTCATCTGCAATTCCTACAACGCCTTTACATCCTTCGAATGTCTGGTCTATCTTGGTCTGAACTGTCTTGAGAGACATTTTGAGCCCAAGGGACATGCGGTTGAATCTATGTCACCCAGATGGGGAACTAAATGTATTTACGTAATTAGACTGTTTATCCAAGAGCACGTTCCAGTATCCGCATTTTGCGTCCACAATAGAAAATACTTTAACGTCAGTCAGCTTTGGTAGGATCACCTCTAGTTTGGGAGTGACATGATTTCCCCTCTGAATGGCTGCATTGAAGTCTTAAGGCAGAACCACAACCTTTCGTTCTACTTTCGGTGGTAAACAAGGCTTCTAACCCATTGTGTGGGCTCACCATCTTCGATCTTGGTCATATTGTTATTTCTAACAATCTCGTCTAGTTCCTTGATGGCACACTTCTTGGAGAATGGACAACAGGTGGTACATCGCGGTACATTAGGAGCAATTAGTATGTGGTATTCGCCCTGAAACTTTACCACTTCGTTGAAGCATTCGGGATACTGAGTCATGTTTGCCTTCAATGAATTGCTTCTTGAAAGCTGTATCGAGATTTTCTCAATACTAAGTGGTGCGGGCGCGTTAACTAGCGCCATTTTGTTTTAACATTTATCGACCACTCTAAAGAACTCTAATAGAAATAATTAAAACGAATACCTTCTTCAAATTTTATCTTTACAACCGGTATTGTTTACTTATCTATTTATTGCACATTAACTTAAGTGATGAATGTCATTTTCTTTTCACCTTGCACAGTTTTGGCTCCTTGATTGTGCTTCTGGAAAAAAGATTTGCTTCTCAAAGGCACGCCAATCTAAATCGAGAAAATAAGAATTGCTGGTTTTCAGTGTCACGCCATTCAAAACAGATCAAAATAAAAATGAAAAACCGTTCAATAGATAAAGTCCAGAATCTGGGAAATGAAAGGAGGTACATGTGCAAAGACCCTCGCTAAGACTCAGGTCAGAGGAATATGGGAGATATCCGAAGAAATGTTTTACCCAAACTTATAGAGATTTGTATGGAGGCGCCATGCTGGTGCTCACCTGGATGAGCTCCAACATGGCGCACGGAAACCAACAGAAACATCTGTTACCGAGTTTTGCTACAAAGGAGTGAATTTATTCTTCGGGAAACTCATAAACATTAAAGTAATGATTTTTCTAATACATGAACTGTTTAGATAGCAAAATGTCCTGAAGTAAGTCATTTTTTTAAACCTACATGACAGCTCTCTTGGCTGCTGTGTAAATGCCGCGTCACGCAAAAGCTTAGAAATTCAAGCGTACTCTATCACAAAACCAAGAACCCTTTTGAAGCGAAAATTGGTATGAAAAGTAGTTTTCAAGTGCTCTAATGCATCGTGAAAGTAAAATCTCGGTAAGATCGATAGTTTTTTAGTTTGAATTTTAGTGACGTCATGTGAAAACCAACAATAGTTGAATTAGATAAATAAAGGCCAACGGCTAAGCACTACAATCTAGCGGGCTAACGAGAAGGGCCCTCAGAAGCTCCCCCGCCCCCGAGCCCCGCACCCAGGAAGCGAAAAAAAAAAAGCCCGGTCGGAATAGACTCAATTATCCCTTAGTTTATGTTTTGAGGTCTGGGATCTCTCTGGAACTTGATGAAAAAGTTATGCATGAAAAACGAAAACAAAAACATGAAAAACCTTCAGTTTTAATAAATGTTCAAAGGAAAGGTAATCTTGAAATAAACAAATCGTGAAACTCACAAACTATCGATGCAAAATAGTTTCAACAAATGTGTATATTTGGCGCTAGGTTGTAAGGACTCCTTAATTCTCCAAACTGGTCAAGTTAAGGTGATCGTTAGAGACTTATTAAGACTTTAAACTACGCGACAGAAGGATAATGGTCTTCTTATGAGGATCTATGAAGGCATTACTTTCTAGAAACTAGCTAATTTTGTTCCAGGGAAAATGTAACAAGAACGTTTTATCAGTGTTGTCAACTACATTATTTCATTCATATTTATCATGTTATAATTCTAAAAGTCTACCTACCTTTTTACCAAATACATCGCCCAGAGGCTGCAGGTTGTCAGCGGTTAAGGTAGAGGAGACCTGGGCAGTAATGATTGACATTAACATCAGTCCAATGATCATCCATAATGTAGCATATGCTCGAGCAAGCGTGGATTTTGGAGTCTTGTCACCATACCTACAAAGGCAAAATATTCCGCATGCATATGAATGGATATTAACGACGAGTGCTTGGTTAAACATAAAGTATGATGTTTTTCTATAGCTTTAAGTACTTACCCCGTGGTTGTCATTGTAACAATGGCCCACCATAAGCCTTCTTGAATGCCAACCCAAAATGACTTAGGGAAATGTCCGGAGTTCGCCTTATGATCCTTTAAGCAAAAGTGTGGATAAAGATAAGTTCAATATTGACTAATGAAATTCAAAAGCGTAAATAACATGCTTTTACTGAATCTTTGTTTTCGGGTGATCACTTGTTGCTCAATTACTCATCATTTAATTCCTTGCAAAGCTGACTTGCCGTGTTTTGTTTTTTATTTGTTTTCTATCTGCAAAAAGACATGATGCTAAATATGCTTTGTTGTCGCACAAGTGATGAAACAGAACAAAACTAAAAGAAAAAAAAGGAATTCGAAAAAGGCGCCTGCTCACACAGCCACTGCAATTGCTAACTACGACAAGCAGGGCTTAACTTGAATTGCACACCGAGGTTCGCGAGGATTAATCAGACTTTTATTTTATTTTTACTTTTATCATCGACAAATCATGATTTTGCCCCAGTGTCCCTTCCTCTTTGTGGGTAAATTTCGGTCAAAAAAGAACTTTATAATTCTGTTAAAATTTTGTTGTAATAATTTAAGTGAGGGACTCCCATTCCTTATAAACCCGGTGGCTTCCGTTGGGCTTCCTCGTTTTAAAAAAATTCGACAATTTCCTTGTTTTTTTTGTACATCATTATAACAAAACAATAAACTGAACTGAACTGAACTGAACTTTTCGAAATGTAATCGAGACTAACGGAACATCAACTTTTATTTATAGCTTTAATCCCTCCTAGGAGAATGAAATGAATTTCTGTATACTTACAAAAAACCAAATGATGATTCCTGATAATGCCGCCGCTATCAGACAAAAGACGAACAGTTTCCATATTTTACGAAGGGCCTCAAACACCTGCGTTGTTATAGCGTTATTCTTTTCCTTTTCGGCGAGAAAGGGCCGTAGATTCCTTTTAAACGTTAAATTTGGATATTGAGATATTACAGGAAATGATACATTTATCAGAGGTTGCTCCGAGCATTCTTTGTTGTTCCGAAATAAAGATGAACTGCGGGTAGCCAGGCTTTGAACACAAGAGTTTGCAACACGGCAGACTTGGTCCTTCCACTGAAACTGGCTATCTTTTGAAAGAACGCTTTCAAATTTAAACTCTTCCCAGAGAAAACCAATACACGAACAATTGCTCTGGTTTTCAGATAGACAAAAGATTTTGGCGTTTAAAATAGTAAAAACAAACAAAAGTGTCTTGAAAGACATTTTGCGCGAAGTTCCACTTCTTGCAGCAATTACTATACTGCAGTACAGATCTAACAAAACAGCTTACGAAGCACCTGACTGAAAATTAGAGACCAGATGTAACCATATGTTCAAATTAGCTCTTTAACCCCCAATATCCACCTACAAATACTCCAAACTGATCCTTATACATTTCCCTAAAGAATTAGTTGAGAGAATTTGATTAAAGATCAAAGCATTTTCTGTGTGGTGATCTGTTTATTAATTCTGATATCCTTTTTCTCTTGACAATGTATGGATGTCATTAGGAGAAAAAATTGGTGTTCGTCAATACCTTATTATAGGAAATTAACGATGCACCTTACTCAAAATGAACGCGAATTTTCCAAAAGTTAGGTTTACATACATCAAATTAACGCGAAATGTTCGAAAACAATGTGCGCCTAACTGTATTTTACACGAATTTGCTGCCAGTATACAAACTTCTCAACATACATATCGAAAGGAAAAAATAGCACCATTTCCATGAAGAAGAAAGTTTAGACTGAAGAAGTTAGCTATTCCCTCGGGAAAACGGATCAATTCGAAGACCAGTCGAAAGACATTTTAAACTATATTCTTAAATAGGAACTGTCAGATAGTGACTCCGAGGCGTTAATTTAGAAACTATGAACAGACGAGGTTTTGTTATTGAAATAGAGGTGCTGTAAAACAATAATGATGTAAAATAGTGTAATTTAAATTAATATCGACGCAAATAAAGTTAAATTACGTTAACGCGATTTTTTTAAAATCGCGTTAATAAAGTGCATCGTTAATTTCTTTTAATAAGGTATTCTATTGAGACTTGAAGGGTCACTAACAAAGCTGCTCGAAAGCCCTGGTACGTTTTTAGGCACGAAGTAACAAATTAAGCAAATTTAAAACAGTCTATAAAATCAAATTAATTGACTGATAGATTTATCACATTGTAATTACCGAAAACAGCTGCAATCCCAATTTCAATTTTAAAAAAATAAAGGAAAAAGTGGCTGCCGTGGAAAGGTTGCTAGCAATAAAATTCCACTAACAAATTAAAGGCTGCGACGGATGAAATTACAATAACAAAAAGGCCTTTATAGCATTAGCTGTTCACTATCTAAAAATCAACCTGTTGGTACAAATTTGTGAAGAGGTATAAGCAACGTTATGCCCCGATGTTTCGATATTATAAAGTAGGTGTGGTTCGTAAAGTTAGGTTTCGAGCCCGTCTTAGAAGTATTTGTGTGGAGTTGTATGAAGTAATCAGAGCAAACCGGTGCTTATATCTCCTCACCAATTTGCACTCACAGGCTGGTTTTTGGGAAGCGGGCGTTTTTCATCTTTTTCTTTCTGAATATGTTAACTAGTCTCATAAATTCCAAAAAATTGAATTCTTGTGACGTCATCCTTCTCTTCTTTATTGCACATTTTTCAAATGGCATTATGTCATCAGTCGAATGGTACTGCTTATAGGCAGTAGTTCGGCTATTTTCTGTCAATTATCTGTAAAGGGGAGTCAGATCAGTTTTATGGATATTGGCAAACATCTTCCAAACTTATGGTCAACACTAACTGTAGAACTACCTGAAAAGGTCCAAGCCAATCGGAAACAAAGAAATATTGCCATTCAACTCACAAGTAAGTTATCATCAAAACTCAACTTTTAGTCATTACCAATACTATACTTGACCAAGTAGCCGGTTTGTTGAAAAGCGGAAACAAAAAGGCCTTTACATCTCTTTTTGTACCCGAAACAGAAATGGTGCAATATAGAGCACCTATATAGAGCAAAATGGTGCGATTTAAAACAGAAATGGCATTATTTAGAACATGAATGACGCGATTTACTACAAGAGAGGTGATTTAGAGTGAAAATCGTGTAATTCGTGAATAAATCACTCCGCTGAGAGCCAATTAGATTGCAGGGATCACCACTGATTTCAAAATGCATATAATAAAACAAAAAATCGTTAGTTTAAAAGGGAATTTGACATTATCAACACCCAACGCCAAATATTAATGTAGAAGCAAAAACACACAAAAACAAAAAAAATCTACAAAAACGTTAAGTTTCTCCACATTTATTACGGTTGTTACAGAGCTTTTTTTCTTCTATTGTCGCGACATATATATTATGACAATGTCTGGTCAGTCTCCGGAATGTTGAACTAAATAAGTGAAAAGGCTGATCCTTTCCTACTGAGTCTGCGCGGTTCATCATCATCATCATTATCATTTTAAGTTACTTTAAGGCCTGATGTATTTAATAATGCTTCGCTCTATCATAGCAGTACATGTTTTCATTCAGAGGGCAGACCTTGATTTTCCTCGTCACAGATTAGGAGTCCAGGGCCGTGTAGTTCCAGTCTATTTTCAAAGAGCATTGGGTTGGGTCAAACACTTGAGTTGCTAATAATTAAACGATACAGTTTAAATTACAGAAGATTAAAAAATTGGTTTCATCTAAAATTTTACAACAGCGATGGCCAAAAAAACAGTAGATCCCGAAAAAATAGATTGCCACAAATTTGCACTCTTTTTGTAAATATGTCGAAAAATTTTGAAAACTAAGCAGTAAATCTGGCACAAAGATGGTAAATGCTTCGCCTCGCTATCCACCGGGTAAAAATCTATCCAGTGGATGAGGCAATTGGTTTCCCTAATACTTATCCTCTGGATGGTGATTTATCCGATGGATCGGGGCTATCCAACGTTTGAACAACCGGGGTCAGGTTGTTATTCTCGCGTGCAACCCGCACGACAATCGCTAAGCGAGGCGTGGTCTTGCTTTGGTCATAAATATCTCTTTCGCTATCGGTTTGGGCGAACGCAGTTACCTAGCTACAAGGAGCTACAAGGCAGCGTGTAAACAAAACCGTCATAAACCTGGCCCGGTGCTTTAGCGGCCGTTTAAGAGTTCAAGAAATGCTTTTAACGACAGGCTTCGAAGGTTGAAGTACCTTTTACAGAAAATGGACGTGATTTCGACCATTTAAATAACAGCGGAAATCATGGCGTAAACATATGTTTTGCGTCCTACTTTGCAGACGAGTTGTATCGGCTTTACTTGGGCATATTTTCTTTCATTGCCACGAAATGCGTTTACATCGGTTTTTTTACTGTCAACAGCCCGGTCATTTTCCTGAAATATACCTTTGAATTGCGTATTTCGTGTTTAATACTGGCGTCTCGATCAGTTTTACACGGCGTTTGCCGGCGGACGTTCCATGAAAAAGTCGAAAAAAGGCGTGAAATTACAGGCGGCCCAGACTCTGTGGGAGTTCTTTAGACTTTGAATTTGTAACAGAATGTATGAAATAAACAAAATACTCCCTAAATTCCATTTTTGACGAAAATAGAAAAAAAAAAGACTCATCTTGTGTTTTGCAAAGGTTTGTTGTTTACTGTGTCTTTGCTTCAAGAGCCATTTGGAAGCCGTTTTATCGAAGTACAACTAAAAATCATTTTTTCTGCAAACTTGGACACAAGCATATTAATTCACAACTTCCCAATTTGGTACAACTAACAAATAAAAAACAACCCTCTTAAACTTCCATCATTCCACAATGTCTCCGTAAAATTTTAAAACAGCCGTAAGCCGTAAGCCGTAAGCGTTTTAAAAGACGTAGCACAAGCAAAATTTTGCCTCATGAATTATTAATAGTAGGTGTCCCCCGTGGGCTTACATACATACAATCATCCTTCATTATCTTTCCTTAAACAAGGTTTTTCAAAGATAATTGAGCTATTTCGTCTTAGGATAGCCGTGAACGCCATTTTCTTTTTCACTTCTCTCAGGAATACCTGTAAACAACTAGTCTGCAGCGCCTGGAAACGAAATTAGTCAATGGTATATCACAATTTATACCTTCGAATCGATGGCATTTTGCTCCCGTCTTCCAAATATGGTAAGCACCCTTTGGTTATGAAGAATTAGCAGGAGGATTGGAGCCAATCAGAAACGGCGAAACACCGCATAAGACTATATTACCGTTGAGGAAGGGCTTGCTGACCGGTTAATACAGGTTGACCGTTGAATACAGGTTAGACATATCTCGATATATCAAGGGTTATTTAAGGAATGAAGATCAGGTGAAAGAGCGAAATATCTATCCGATGCCCGTTTTGGCCTTGAACTGTCTCTACCTCCACTTGTACCACAATAGAAAAATTTAAGGACCACTAAACGCCATGCTCAGTCTATCTCTACTGTTGCACTAGTATGGTACATACTTTGGAAGTGACCGTTTCAAAAGTGAAGACAATAAGAAATAACTCGTTGGGACCTCGCAAAAGGTGACCACGACCCCCTAATGGAGGTGACCGGTTAATAAAGGTCATTTTTAAAGTAATTAAGGGAAACTATTTTCGGGATTTTGATAAGTGACCGTTTGATAGAGGCTCGCTTAATACAGGTTTAACTGTATTTTGAATAAATAATAATTAAACATTTACAATAACTGAGCCAAGTTATCTAAGTTTAAACACATTTTCTTACGTTCTTTCTCTACTAAATTAGTTGAAAATCTTCTCATTCTGAAATAATGTGCTCATTGTTTTCATTTCTTGTCCTGGTGAAGTTGTTGCCGTTTCCACATCAACATTGTAGGCTGTGGAAAGACAAAATGATATAATTAGGTGTCATCACACTGGTGTTGCGAAAGGCCAAGGTAACATTAGTCTATGTCCGTGCCGTCAAATAAATCCCGCAAAAAATCAAAATCACAGGGTGCCAGAGGTTAGGTTTTATTTGTTTTTTAGGGTCGCACTTGGCAAATTTCTGGAAGAATTTGTTTACCTTGCGGTAGAAATCTGTCATGGGGCACATTGCGCAAGTGCGACCCCAAGTTTTCAAATTGGAAAAAACTTTGAAAATCGCAAAAAAAACATCAAAGACGCTGTAGTGCTTGGTTGGGCAGGTAGATTTTGGAAAACTCGAGCTAAACAGTGGGAATCACAGCGGTAACTGTCTTTTTACGGGAACTTTCTACAGGCAAGCCAATTACAGTCTACCCAAGCAAGTACCGTCACGGGCTTGTTATTATTCTCCGAGCCAAATGTATTCGCAGCCAAGCACTTTATTTTCTTCATCTCTCCCACCCTCCCGAACTGACTGGGAAAGGATGAAAACGTTCCTATGACAAATGATCGGACAACGAAGAGATATATTTTCTCTCAGGTATCTGGCCTAATTTAGTTCTCAATGTTTCAAAACAATGACAATTAATTCCCACTAGTAATGACTAGTAAGTGTAGCCTGTTCCGGGCTACACTAGTAAAATAAAACGGGACGAAACTGGAACAGGCTACTACTAGTGAGATATCGACCCTCCTTGACTTGACTAAAAGTTTTCTTTTCCGGTTGTGGTTTCAAATTTTCGTGGTTTTTCAGTCCGCAAAGATGAAAACTTTGCCCAAGTGCAATAGTTTAAAAGCAAGAGTCCCGAAACTTGCGCTGCGAAATTGCACAAAAACGAGGCGGAGAGTCTCCGGGAGCTTTCTTTTAACAATAGACGCGAAAAAAAGTATTGCCTGGCACGAAAATATCTTGTATATATAATTATTACTTTTTAAATATTCCGCAAAATAAAGGAGGAAAGAGATATAGTGGAAACCCTTTAGTGTGGTCACTAGTAGGTCAAAATAAATTTGGCGGTATTTACGGGGTGACCGTATTACTGGGGCGGGGTCAAATTTCATGAATTAAGGGCTATTATGACAAATACACCATACATCGCTTTCGCATTTCTAGAACAACTGTTTTCCTTAATAAACAACTTGAACAGGAATGTCGTTATCGCGTACAGTAAACGTATAAACTACTGGAAACTTTCCTTCGGTAAAACACAAAACCCTTTTAAAAACCAACTCTTAAACCGCCATAAATTTGATAAATGCCTTTTGAGCGTACTGTAGTCTAAAAACGTCACAAGAACAGGGTCAGTTTACTAGTTCAATGAAATCGACAGGTCACAGACATAAAAGATTCTACTGTTTGGGATTTTAAAATGTGGCCGTTGGCCGTATTAAAGGGTGTCAACATTAACGGGGTAATATTTTATAAGAAAATGTATGGCCGTTTTGCCGGGCAAAAATAAGTGGCCGTAGTAACAAGGCCACCGTATTACCGAGATGGCTGTAAGGCAGGGTTCCAATGTATAACCAAGCTAATGGGCTTGATTTTCCCTAGAACCGAGTTACATCGGGTTTCGACAAGACTGTAACCTAGAACATTTCGAATGAATAATAACACAGTGGTTGAAGTACTGCTTTGATTCGTATATGATATGAAGGATTAGGCCAAGGTGGATAACAACCCCCTTGATCTATACATAATTCTTTTTAGTATATACTAAAACAGTGGATAGTGTTTTTCGCGCGCTCTGATTGGCTACTCAGTCAGTGAATATCCTGCACTAAATTTAATAATCTTCTTTACAGAATGATTTTAAATACAAAAAGAATTCACAACCCCTTTTGAAGAAATTTCCCCTCAAGAGCTAAACAAATGCCTTCAAAAGTTTTATTTGTCGGCAAGAAAAAGCGACGACCGGTGGCTGGTAGTGGGGATATTTACCTGGCCGCTTTGCAGCCTCGGTATATATCCATCACCACTAGCCACTTCCACTTCGGTGGATAATTGTTATGTACATACTTAACCTGTTGCAATAGCTATAAATGCTAAAAATAAGGCTACCAAACCTCTTGAGATCTGCTTCTTTTGTCTCCTCGACCAGGTCTCCCACAGTGTTCCGATAATCAGGAAAACAAGAAGAAGTCCGGCGAGGCCAAACAAAATGTAGTCAGTAACTTTCTTCTCATTTGCAGTGGTCCACTTTATCGTGTAACGGTATTTTCCACTGCTATATATCTTAAAGCATTTATTCTGTTGTGATGTAAGAAACGAAAATTTTTATTCACATTTTGAAAGCGTTCACTGAAGAAACACTTACGGCAATTCAGATCTGGATTTTGGCGAGACTTTCTGGCTGTTTCTTGGTGTTGCGAAAACCACTGTGGGTTTGCTTGTGTGTTGTTGTGCATGTATTTGGGTATTCAGTTCAGTGTCTTTTCAATCTTTAGTATACTTCATTACATTTGGTGATTAAACCCATTTGCAAAACCAAGGAACTACCGTCTTTCTGCATATTTATCTTTTTTCACCTGTCAAATTCTTTTCTTAATAATTAATATGTGATGAATGGTTTTGTGTTTTATTATTGACTACGTTACGATAAAAACCAGCAATGGCTTGGCGATGTGAACTAGACTAGATGACATGATCGCAGCTTAACACTCACAAAGTTCTCCTGCTACTTTTGACAACTAAACTCTGAAGCAAGAAACGCGGGCATTTCTTGGTAGCCTTTTTGTCTCATAACCAACAATGGAGTGACAGTGTCTACAGCCTTTTTTCCAACTTTTTCGGATTTCTCCGGGATTTGTTGAGGTACTTTACGATTAATAATCAGCTTTTCTCCTAGCTTGAGAAAACCTAACGAGCTCTTCACCTCGATAGCTAGACTTCGAAGGGACGGTTCTAAAGTTTCAAAAGAAGCTCTGGTGCTCTGCGATTTTAAGGCAAGTCTAAGTTTTTTCTAGAATAATTATGAATGTTGGAATGGCGCGCGACGGGTTTTGATACATCTTTTGTTATAATCTTTTCAGCATCTCGAAAAATGTGCGTGGATACCCTCACCTAGTTCTGTTGCTCGAATGTAAAGATTTTTGCATTGAGAGTACAGGCATGCGAAACGGTCAGTGATTTTAGCAGACCTTTTTTGTCCAGAAATTTTGTCCACGTTGCAAGTCTTCCACCTTATGCGGGAGTATTTGAAAGTTTCAGATTGTTCGTCAAATTTGAGAGCTTTTCTAGCTTCAAAATAGCGTGATCTACGTGATTGCTGCGGTTGAACCGGCGGATCTGTAAAAGCTAGCACGGTCTCCAATTAGCTTGTAATGACTAATTTAACAACTTGCCTTGATTTTATCCATCATATTTTCACTTGTTTGCCCTGTCTCGTTAAACCAGTTAGCGTAACACGTTTTATACAGCTCTTCATCTTTATTTATCTTCCGTGGCACCTTAATGTCTGCGCCGATTTTGACATCTGTTTTTGCTTCTCGTACAATCACGGTTGAATCGGGGTCGGTGTCTAGTTTGGAAAGGCAATTGAGCAGCCAAACCTTATCCTGAGTCCCGTTGTTGAGACTTTCAAACAATTCTTTCTCCGTCGGATATTCTGAAAAACAAAGCCGACTAACATTAATTTATGAAAAAAGACCAGCCACGCATGGTTAGGATTTTTACAAGAGAGACCAACAAAGAATTGAAGGCAAAAGTCCAACTTTCTGCGAATCAATTTTATGACCTATAGAATGGAAAAAAATTAGTTCAAGAAAGGTTTATATTTCATCATCAGCATCAGCATTCTCCTCCTCATCATCATTTGCTTATCTAATTTGCCTTGTTTCAGCACAGTTTAAAAAAGGTTTAAATAGGTTTAAAGGCTTTGTTTAAAGTTGAAATCTAGCTAGTACAACAACAACAACATCAACAACAAAAACAACTTTATTCTTTGTATACGGGAGTTGCACAGTTTGCCCTGCAAATAGCTGGAAAGCTAGTCGTGGAGGGAGAAAGACAAGTATAGGGACAACATATCTACTAAAAACAAAAAACCTTGAACTATTAAAAAGCCTCGCAGATTGGAACTAAAAATGAATAAAACACAGACTGAAATTTAGTGATCTAATTAAGAGGGTCTCAATGGGGTGGCGGCTTTTACGGTTATCGGCTAAAATTTTGGCTCTTTTACGGCTATCGGTTAATTCTTTTCACTTACGGTTAACAAAAAAGTTAAAAATTAACTTCTTTTGTTTCAAAAAGTCAAATATTAATTAACCTGTATTTTTTGTATCTTTAAATCAAAATAAAGGTCTTCAGATCATCTCGGGATGAAATAAGCTATTCTTTTGAAAAATTTTAACATTTGATAGATCATACTTTTTATGAAGTATTCCACTTCTAATATTATTTTAAACATAGAAATGTCAATAGTCAATTAAAAAATAATCTTTGTGAAAAAGCAAAAGCAGACACGCAAACGCTCAACTCAAGGCCGGGCCGCGACACTCATTATAACAGAAATGGCCGTTTTCACACTAAAGACGGATTATTCGTGTTAGACGGGTTATCCGTTTGATGATTCGCGTCAGATAGGTAATACGTCTTAATCTGAAAAAGGGAATAGTTTTAATTTTCAGTGAACAATCCGCTGACTTTATCCGTCAATTTCGACGGACAGTTTGAGGACCGGATTATCCGTTCCAGATAGCCTGTTTACAGCCGCCCCGTTCCCTCAGAAAAAATCGGAGAATGGGTGTCTGTGTGGAGGGCGCGACTGTATACAGGACAATCCATTTCTAGCTCTAGCGTGAAAACGGCCAAAAACAAAATTCCCGTGTCCAGTAATTTTTAATGATAGCGAAGGACTGTACAGAACGACTGTCTGCCGTTGCCTTGTTCGTAGGTCTCATTATTCCGCGCGGCTAATGCGTTTCCAGCCTTCAAGGGAAAAGCCCTGGGGACGAGGTTGATGCGTTTAGGGTCACGTGGTCTGAGCGAGTTCGCCGCCGAAATGTCTTGACCGAGATTTAGTGGGAAGACACTGTACAGGGACTAGGCATGGCAAAGTCTACCGTAGCGTCAGAGAAAAACAGGGAAATGTTGTTTATCGGCAACGTGTTTTACAAACAGTGACATCTCTGCGTGTTGTTTCACTAGTGTTTCGATGGCACGACCTCCTGAAAATCGCAAATATTAATGCCCAGCAAGAAGCCACACTTTCGCTACGGAAAAAATTAGTTCCCCGACAGAGCGGCGGAGATGGAGCCTAGGTCTTGGTCAACACCTAAAAGGCGCTTCCCTAATGTGTGTACGGAGTCACACTAGCCGGGAAATAAAAAACGCAATCATAAGTGAGTTTAGTACCTCCTTTAAAAGTAGCAAATCTAGGGAAAAATTTCTTTTACGGTTAACTCTTTTTTACCCTATTTACGGCTAACGATTAAAATTTTTCAATTTTTACGGTTATCAACTAAATTTTTGGCCGTTTTACGCCTATCGGTTAACCCCCATTGAGACCCTCAATTAACTACACGTCGCTTACTGACACATGTAGATAAGGAGCCACTGACTCTGATGGATAACACAGAAAAGGAAGAGCAGACATTAAAGCGTTTAGCAAGGGTATCTACCGTATTTATTCGATTAACCGCCCTGGGCGCATATTAAATTTCTGGACCTTGAGAGTGGGCGATTACTCGAGGTGGGTGCTTATTCGAGGCTGGGCGCTTATCAAATTTTCACCATTTTCAGCAAGTGAAGTATTTTTATTTTGCAACAAAACAACAAATGCTAATAAAAAAAAACGCGAAGAAGTAACAAAGCAAGGTTTCTGTAAAATACTCTGAAAACTCCGTCATCGGGGAAGTCTCTTATTAGAATTTATTCACTCAGGTCGGCGGGGTGGGGGTGAGCGTTTATTGAGTTTGATTGGGAGGAGGACGGGATGGACGCTTATTCGAGGCTGGCGATTATTAACTTGTGCAGGTAAAGGTTGCGTATTCGTTTTCACCCTCCCCTGCTCTTCAAACGTTTTTGTTCCTCTCGTCGTCGCGGTTATTTTGTTCGACAGTGGGGTACCCGTGGTGTTGTGGCATCTGTTAGTGATGGTCAGCTGGTTGTCCATTTGTGAATGCTCTTGTGTTGCCTACTGCGTTTTATATCCTTTGGTGTTCATTGGCGTTGTTAAATTAGTTTTTGTCCCTGAATATTGACCCCCTGCGTCGTTGTCAGGCTCTTTTATTCCATTCCATAGCGCGCCATCATTGTCGTGGAGGTACATTAGGTCCTTTGTCTGTCTGTTCACTTAGCTTGCAGTACCCAGTTCTAGTCAGTTGTAGTGGTCAGTTCCTATCGCGTCCTTTAACTTGACTGATTGTGGCGTTTTTCTCTTTGCAGTTGTTTTTCCTGTCATCTACTTTTGTAAGGGATGTAGAGGTCATTACCCAGGAGAATTTTTGGCGTGCCTGTGCACCCGTCGTATCCTGAGGCATTTAACATATAGTTTGGTGTTGTTAAGTGCAGTGGTCTTGTGTTGGTGTTCTGTGGGTTAAATGGGTGGCGGGAAATTGCACTCTGCTGCGTACACCCCTCTTCGAAACAAAAAAAAAACACGGCTTTATCTGCTCGTCGGCCTGACGGCTAAGCCATGCTGATGAGCCCCAAAGAGGACAAAACAACCATCCATGGCTGCCACTGCCCGGTTGATTAATAGATGTGCGCATGAGTAAGGTACTTACCAATACCTCTGAGTTAGTACGTGTACTTAATTCAGTGCTGATAGTTGGTGCTGGTCAGAAACACCTGGTAGCGTTCCTATCCAAACAACCCAAGGTTTCCTAAACTGTAATCAATGCACAGTCTCAACTTTCAAATTTTCTTGAAGAAGAAACTTAAACAGGGAATAAATGGCAGGTCTTCAATTTAATGTTTCGTATCAGGGTACAGCCGTCTTGATATTGAAGTCTACCAGAAACTCATAAGGGGTTGAAACGTGTAACTCGCGTTCAATGCTCGTGAATATTCAGTTTTACCATCAGTTTGGAAACCTTAGTGACAGATATCCATTTTCAACAAATGGCTGCCGCGCGATCACCATGCAGATGTTTTAAGGCAAGAGTTCTGCATTTCAAGGTTAAAAATAAACCGTTAAAAGACAAAAAATGGAAAGAGAAAGTTCGAAAGAATGCTCAGCTTTCTTTTTGTGGAGGAAGGGAAGCTTTTCATCAAGAAATCGTCCTTCGAGGAATTCAACCTTGTTTTTTTCTCGACGGAGCGCATGGTCTGTTTTGAAATGCAACCAAGGCAGTGAAGTTTTTGCTGAATTTTCAGGTTCATTTTGCACTCTATGGCCAAGAAAATTACGTTTTTGAAAGGGAATTTATGTATTTTTAAATGTTTCATAGACGTTTTATAAATTTTTCTCTTCGGCGCTGAAGAAAAATTACAAAATGTGCCCCAATTTGAGATGGATTTTGTGTTGGATTTTGCCATGTGCTCAGCCGATTTCACTTCAGTAAACGGATCCACGATCCAGATAGTGTTTTCCGAATTGCTTTAAAGGATTAACTTTTTGGATTTTGAATAAAAATTTTCAAGAAACGGCTTCTCTGTCTATTGTTTTGAGTTTGCTCATTTATAAAATTAGTTCAAAACACGATCGTGACTACAACATCCAAGCTAAATTTAAGCTTAAATGCTTCTCACATTCATTACACGCATCACTTTTTGCGAAAATGTCAGGTTCAGGTTTTAGACACTTTTCGATACGCAGCTAATTAATAATATTTGAAAATATTTTTTACTGTTTATTCTAGACTTTTAATATAAGAATTTTAAAAGCCTATTTTCAGTATAAGTTTACTGTGTAGAGGGTCAACGAGGCATCGTTTTTTGAAGTGACAACTTCATGAAGTTGCGAGAACGTCAGTGGGTTTCATAATGTTATGTTTGGCCCGGGTGGTAAGGCAATAATATCCTGCTCAGTGTTTCGGTAAGATTCCTGGTTTCAACCTTTTAAAGCTTTCTCGGCTTTCGGGAGTTTTTCCCCCGTTTGTCGGCCATTTTTTTACAAACGGGCGCGGGAACATGAAGTAAAACTACGTCACGTTGTTTACGAAGTTTGATTGGTCAGTTATCTCTTCTTTTCGTTCCAAATATGGTACTTTCGAAAATGAATAATCACGAGCATCGGACAAAGCAAACATATGAGAGTTACACGTTTCAACCCCTTATGAGTTTCTGAGTCTACCTAATATTGCATCAGCAACCTTCCTTAGATATACGTTCAAGCCCGTCAGAAAAAGACTACTGCGAGAGGGTTCAAGCCTCCCTTAATTGTATCGATGGAAAAGTAGGTACCCTTGCACCTGCTGTTCACGGCTACCTGTGCTGCATTCTCCACCAATCTCACGTGGTTCCCACATATATGTAATTAAGCACTATGTAAAAATCTTTGCCACTATACATCTCACCTTTCTCTGATGATTTATAATGTTCATGCAGGGTCTCGTTTATTTCCAACTCATGAGGACACTCTGCAGTGTGTCTAACTGAATGTCGATATCCATGTCTCTGATATTAGAGATCGTTCAAGTTTTCCAGTTCACAGCTTTGGCCACTGAATAAACTTGAAGCTTTGTCTCGCTTAGCGTTTCACGTTTTTTATCGTTTTAGGTATTATTTTTATCTTTTTAACAAATAAAGTAAATTACCGGACCTCCGATTTCAAAGTCATTGTAACACTTTAAAGGTATTTAGATGTGAGGGGTACCTACAAGTTCTGAGATGAGTGGGAAGATATGCTGTGCAATGAAATGGAGATTACTGTCATATTGATAAGGGATTATAATAAAAACCATTCAAGCTTTGATATTGTACCTTTGAAGGATGGGGCATCCATGCTGTAATTCTGAAAAAAAGTAAGGCTTCCCAAAGGCACGCCAACCTACAATAGATCAGAAAAGTACATCACTTACAGATGTGCTATAGCTCAATGATGGCCAATGGAACTACTCCTGATGTTTGCCGTAATGTTAATCAGTTTAACGCTAGTACTTTACACAAAGAGAGTTCAACCTCATCTTTAAGGCTTTTCCAAGTGTTTTTAAATATTCCTTCTTTTTAGAAGCAGTTCGATCACATATTTCTCACAGTTTGGTGACGGTCGATCGGCTGCTATGGGCTATGTTGTGTTATGTCTAATTTCTATTCAAATTGTGGGATGCTCCGTAATAACGCAGGTGAAAAGTATGCGACTGGTGTAACAACTAGCAAAATACGCCCCAGAGATAATATCATTATTGGCACCTGGAACGTGACAAACTTGCAAATGGCAGGCAAATTGGAAGAATTGTCATACCAGATGAGCAGGTACTGCTGGAACATCTTAGGTCTCTGCGAGGTACGATGGAAAAACTTTGGCGAAAAATCCACTTAGGAGGGTCATAAATTTTTCTTCAGTGGCAAGGAAGTCAAACAGAAACAAGGTGTTGGATTTCTAAAAACTCTAACCAGCACAAAACGAGGACAAACCAACACCATACAGTACAAAGACGAGAATTGCCTTTACCGAAACATTCCAAAGAAGTGGAAACAATACTGCGCAGAACTGTAGAGACACACAGTCGAAGGTGGCCCAGCGGTGCTGATTGTCTTATAAGTAACGAAGACTGATAACTACCCAATCTTGCGGAAAGAGTCGAAGCAGCTGTGAAATCGCTCAAGAAAGGAAAATTTCCAGGGACCGACAATATCCCGGGAAAGCTGGTTCAGGCAGGAGGATATGCCGTGATAAGCGCCTTGAATAAAATCTTAGAGCAATAAAATATGGCAGACAGGACAGCCACTCAGCGCGATTAGCTTTTGTTATTTCTGAGTGGCTGTGCTCTCTTTTTTTCACAATTATTTCCTTTAAATGTCGTTACACTTTCGTATCAAGAACACAATAAACATTGTTGTTGCTGTTGTTGTTGTTGGAAAGTGGCTCATACCATGGACCCCCGCCACCCGTCTCTTATCATCACCCTCCCCCAAAAAGGTCACCTTCAACAATGCAAGAACTACGGCACAATCGGCCTAATATGCCACCCACGTAAGGTCAAGCTGAAGGTGCTGTTCAACAGGCTGAAGACTCAGGCAGAACCAACCATTGTAGAAGAAAAGGCAGGCTTCAGACCAGGACGCAGTGCGACAGAACAGATCTTCAGTCTTAGGATACTGTGTGAGAAGTACCTCTAACATCAACAAGACCTCTATCACGTCTATATTTACTTTATTGAGTATGGCATAAAGCCCCTTGGCCTACTATGAGGCTTAATGGCGGCATAGGAGACTGGTTCAGAACCACAGCCGGAGTAAGAAAAGGACGTTTACTCTCACCGACTCTTTTCAACATCTTTCTGTAGAGAATTAAGACTGACGCACTAGAAGATCACCAAGGAACAGTCAGCATTGGAGACAGAACAAGTATCAACTTACGTTTTGCCCATGACATTGATTGCTTGGCAGGAAAAGAGGAGGAACTACAATCATGGACAAAAGTCTTGGGACACTTTTGCATTTCTGGGCGTTTTCCAATTCACACAGGCCCAACCCCTCCCCTCACCCCACAAACAATGTTGGGAACATGTATCCATGGATGGCCTAGATAAGACCTCTGCAGCCTTTGGCATTGAAATTAGTGCAGAGAAGACAAAGTGATGATCAACGTCACAAATGGCGTCAGCATTGACATCAGAATGAACGGCGAAAAATTGGACGAGGTTACTTCATGTATTTGGGCGCAGCGCAGTCGTCACAGATCAAGGTTCCAAGCCGGAATACTGTTCAGAATTGCACAGACAATATATATAGCAGCACTAGCGAGACTGAGGACCATCTGCAACGAGAAGCATATGTCTCTAAACTCAAAGATCAAACTTATGCGCTCCCTGGTTATCTCAGCACTGTTGTACGCCCGCGAAACCCAGTAGATATTGACAGCGGATATCCTGAAAAAATTGCAGGCCACTGAGATGAGATGACTTAGGAACTGCTTAGCATCTCATACAGAGACCACATCACTAACGGTGCAGTCAGAAACAGAATCAGGCAGGCCATCGGGCCATGTAATGACATCTTAACCACGCTAAAGAAACGCAAGTTAAAATGTTTTGGGCATGTATCAAGATTACCAGGCCTTGCCAAGACTATTTTACAAGGAACAGTGCAAGGAGGGAGAAGAAAGGGCCGACAAAAGAAACGTTGGGAGAAAAACATCTCTGGTGAACAGGTTTTGAAGTTTTGCGACGTGACGCCCTAAGAGAATCTGAATGCAAAATAAAATGGAGGGAAAGGGTTGCTAGGTCCGTAGCGCCTCAACGGTCACCATGACTACGGGAAAGGTGCAAGGTGCAAGGACCCTTTATAATCAAGACGATTATGAGTTAATATATGAAAAAAAACCGAGGCACTGTTCCTAATGGGTAAACTAAAAGTTTTGTTTCATTTTAAACCCAGGTGATAAAACCAAAAAAAAATAGCTCTGCGGTATAATTATCCCCACCTCAACTCACCTCATCTCCTAATGCATCATTCAAAGGTCGAAGGTTATCCGCGGTAATGATAGAAGAGACCTGGGCTGTAATGATTGACATTAACATCAATCCGACGATCATCCACAGTGAAGCATATGCTCGAGCAAGCGTGGATTTTGGAGTCTTGTCACCATAGCTATACGAAGGCAAAGTTAAGGGAACGATCATAAGTGTTGAATTTAAAACGAGGCAATGAATGTTTTTTCTATGCCAAACACATACAAAGAATCGAAGTAGCAAAACAAAAAACAATTAGGCACAGACAGCTGTTTAAAGCAATAGAGAGTTTTTTAGCTCCGACACCGGTTCTCCTACTTGTTATTGTTATCGAAAATAGATTGAAAGTAAAGTATGAACTAAAAAAAAACCGCTATCAAAACAAAAATGGAAAAGAACCACGGAGTATGGAGAGAATTCAAGTCTTAAAAAAAGCCTACTTTTTGGCAATTAAATTTGACAGACCAGTAGAGATACCGCCGTTAGTTCATTGTTATGTTGATCTCTAAGATCACTATTGAAAGCTTTTGAAGATTAGTAAAAGTGTATTCATCTCATGGAAAAACACATCACATTTATGTATATCCCTCAGCCATGTCAGCTGAAATATTTAATTATTGTCAGTATTACAGGTACACCTACTACAGTAGATGCAAACAAGTTACTAGTTTGTGAAATATCTGAAACAAAAGTCTGTTGAATTAAATATATATGGACGTAAACTTAAAAGAGAAAGGGTTTTTCGTCTTCCTGTTTTCTTCAGATTGAAAAAGGAGTACTTAGATGCTTTTAAACTTTTTTTATGAACAGTGAAACCGATAAACACAGCTTTCAAGTATTTTGCTTTACCTTTTGCGAATTTTCCCTGTTTGCCACAACGGTCAAGGAAGGGTCAACGGAGGAGACCCTGGGAACGAGTTCAAGGAAGCTTGCGGAAGAAACATTAAAACGTAGCCAGCAGTGGATTGAGCATTTTGCAACAATTCAGCGATTTTTCCGCGCTGAGCGGTCGAGAGTTATTGTTGATGAAAGTATCATCCATGGGGATGACGTGATGATGATGGCCTGTTTTTTCTTTTTCTTTCGTGCGTGTTTTTTCCCGGCACCTTCACCGGAAATTGATATCAAAAACTGAAAAATCGGCCAGATAAATGACGTCAAAAATTGTCAAGCTTTGCAGTGGTTCCCCTTGAGTTTTAACATTTTAGCGCCACTTCTGTGGTCGATAAGAGCATAGACCATGGAAAATTTTGTGTATTGAAAACTTTCTTGTGATTTAAACAAAACTCACAAGCGAGAATTTGCACCTTTGGCAGCAAAACCTCGACACTCAATACGAATACGAAGTGGACACTTGGCTGGGAGAACTCCTTCGTAAAATCGACAGTTTTTTAAAGCCCCTTGCAAACATTGTTGGATGTTATAATTTGAGTCCGTTTCCACACCCTGTTGCATGTTGCTGGGAGTTGTTGCTGCGCAAAGTTTGAAACCGACGCGTCGAACGTTTAAGCCAACAACTGCTAACATTTCTTTTGTTCCTTGATCGCCAAAGCGTAGTGCAACAATGTTGGATCCTTTTGCACAGCTCTTCCAACATTGAAGAGGCTACGCACGCGCCAAGATGGCTGTCGAATTTAAGTTTACAAAGTCTTATGGGTTGTATCCTTCCCACTAGGTACTGCAGGTCCCCGCAACATTGTTGGGAGTTGTTGGAACCGTTTACACACCACTGTCAACACATTTGCACGTAGCTTACAGCGGTGATCATATTGGCGTGAACACCTAAAATATGTCTGGAATGTTTATTGTGATGTAACCAATTACAGACGAGATCATCACACCACAGAAACCACAGGCAACGAACGGTTTCCTATCTGTCACGGAACAAATTATTTTAATTTTGTTTTAACATTCAGTCTTTTTACAAGTAAACAATTGCTTTTCCTTCCTATTTGTTTACAGTATTTTGCTATAATAGCGAAGAATACAGGTTTGAGCGATTTTGAAATAAATTACAAAGCCGATGTTCCGGGCCTACGCAGGCGACGGTTTGGCGCGCGAGTTTTCAAACTTTTTGTAACGATCTAAATCGGTAGTTACGCCTGATCGTAGGTAGTAGATAGTAGTTCGAAGGTTATATCGTTAGTTCACACAAATCGAATCCCCTTGTTCTACAAGAAAATGTCAGCAAGGATTGTGCTATCAGAAACGAAAACATCACGATTGTTCATTTTTTATTGTCCCCAAGTGATATGTCGTTACATGGAAAGCTGGTCGCCGTCGCGTGGCGTTGGCTTCTAAAACTTTTCTTTCTGAAATCGAACGATGTACTAGATGCGGTCCTCGGCACTGATCTTGGGAAACAGCGGTGTTTTAAATTCCTAATAAGGTAGTTTGTATCCTTAAACAAAACGAAAATAATTTGTTCCATGACCGATCGGAAACCGTTCGTTGCCTGTGGTTTCTGTGGTGAGAAGATCTCACCTGTGATTGGTTGCAACACAATAAACATTCCAGACATATTTTAGGTGTTCACGCCAATATAATCACCGCTGTAAGAGCCTCAACCCTTTTGAAATCTTTTATAGTAAAGTGAGACGCCGCTCTAGCAATTACATATTGATTATGGAACCTTGTCGCCGTAATTACTAAAGTATAATTTGAAAACGTGTCAAATATATCATGCAAATTTCGCTCAAAAGGCTGTAGAATATGCATATGCAAGGCTGTAGTATATAACATCGATAGCAATTTAGGGCTACATCAAATTAATTTCAGTGGGATAATTTTCTCAGAAATATTAGAAGCGCTAAAAGCACGAGTGGACTGCAATACGCAGGTGGTTGACTGTTATAAAATGATAAATATTAATTTCTTGACGGTTGATGATGAAAAAATTATCTTAAAGGCTTCTGCTATATAAACAATAACTCCTCTTTCAAGATCCTGCTACCCGTAAAAAATATATAAAATTACTTACCCCGTGGTTGTCGCGGTAACAATGGCCCACCATAAGCCTTCACGTATGCCGATCCAAAATGATGGAGGGAAATGACCGGAGTTTGCTTTGTGATCCTATAAACAAAAAATATTAGCATTTAACCGTTCCAACCAACAACACCAAACGAATGTCATGCTGAATGGAAGTACGGCGACAAATTTGTTGAACTGTGGTAGTTCATGGCACTATTGTCTATGTTCATTATTAATGTGTACAATGACTGTTTGCCATCATTTCCCCTATCAAATGTAAAACCGCGTTTTGAACTTCTTCATGAAAAATGAAAGGTAACGTGATCGTAATAGTTAAAGCATTTTTATTAATGAATAGTGTTCTCCCCAAATAATGGAAGTATTTTCATTAGTATTGAAGTACTTACAAAGAACCAAATTATGATTCCCGACAATGCGGCAGCTATAAGGCAAAAGGCGAATAGTTTCCATATCTGTCCGAGAGCCCTCAACATCTGGCTTGCGGTGCCTGAGGAAGTTTCTTTGACGACCAAAACAGGCCGTGGCAGCCGTTTAAATGTTATGTTTGGCGATTCAGATATGACAGGAAAAGTAACATCTATCCATGATCCGTGATTGAGTTTTCGATAATTTTCTCGCGACGACTTTATAGAACTGTTGCCTGAGTTGAGGAGACAATTTGCGAAACGGCAAACAAGGTCTTTCCAATCCTCAGAATCTTTTGGCAGGACGCTGGGAAATTGAAACCTTTTGTCCCAGCGAAATCTTACGCGATCGCAGGGGTTTTTAGATATGGAGAAGAATTTAGCGTTTAGGATAATGAAAGCAAACAGGACAGTCTTGAAAGACATTTTGTGCGAGGTTCTCCACCTTGAAAAAAATTATCTCCAGCGTCAAAAGCTTTCAGAGGGCCTTTTGCGACATCAGGTCACGTGTCGACTGTTAAAGAAAACTTATTAGCTAAGAGTTTCATGGAATAATTGTCACCAGTTCTGGAAAGCAGATGTTTCCTATGTTTTAGCGACCGAAAACCTACCTGTGAAAAATGTCGTCAGGGTCATTTGAGAGGCCGGAAGTTCAGGAAGGAGACGGAAGCAAAAGACCGAACCAGGGCGGATAAATGTTTGGGAGATGAAACGAGCACTCTGCTCTTCAAGTGATATGTGATGAAGGGTAGGACTGGCACGAGCCCTCTTTCCACGCTTCTGGTGTGTTTGAAGGCCTCCGAAATTTTCCTTTTTTGCAAACCAGAAACCCTTTTTTCTATCTGTAATTTTTAGCCCGCGTGGCTGGCGAAAAAAGGAGAAAGGGAAAAGGGGGGTAAAGCAGCACCTCGCTGAACAGCTCGCACAATTGGCTGTGAAAACTATAGAAACGGTGACATGACAATGGTCCTATCCCTGAAAACAAAAGACAATATAATATTGTTTTAGTCGACCACTGAAATCAGAGGTGTGAGGTACTTGATTACTAAAAAAGGGAAAAGGTTGGGGAGCGCCCGCTATAAGAGCCCGTGTTCTTGTATATTCTGCCCACCAATTTCCTCCCTAATCCGATATACGTGATCAATCACAATTAAGTAGGGGGCGCTTCTTAGCATGGTCCAAACTTAATTTCTTTGTTTACAGGAAATTGTCAAGTCGTGAGGCCCTTAAAAAAAATGATATCATACTCGTGCAAAATATAACAACATTTTTACTGTTCTTGCTCAGCAAACAATAAATCAGTTTCTTGTGAATACAGAAAAAAAACTTTGGTCTTGCCTTATCAAACTCAATAGTCGCAAAGTACAAAACTGTCGACAGCCTGAAACGCGATTAATTTATTTAAGGGAAATTATATACATCTTTGCAAACCATTTCGAAGTTCATTCAAGGCGTTATAAGATTGTGCAAAAGTCGCGTGTCCATCTTCTAAAATCCGTCCAATAGTTGTAACCTGTGCTCTTGCCTGTGAATATCGGCGTTGCAGATGACAAGAATTGCCTCGAATCGCCGCTCGGTGTTTGGACAAATCCAGTATACCAAACGTCGTGAGCATTTGCTACCTTCTAAACAAGCTATTACAGTTGGTTCTAGTTCGGGTTTCAACGTGACGTTTGTACTGTCGCAATTTGTAATAAATCCACCGCACTTTGTAATACCTGTCGTAATTTGTAATAAACCGTGTCGCTCTTTGTAATAAAAAAGGTGTCACAATTTGAAATAACAGGCCATCGCACTTTGTAATAAACTAAGCTGTCGCAATTTGTAATAATTCCATCGCACTTTCGTAATAATTATTTGAGAGTGATTCAACTTACTTCGTCAACATTAATATAATGCCAAAATATGCATGGCACTTCATAAACACAGATGATGACGTCTGCTAGCATGTAACATGTCCGTAACATTTTCTTTGGTCAAACATGCATGTCTTCCGCTTTAAATTTTTCTGCCTTGATTAATCACGTGACTAACTAGAAACGCTTTTATGAAAGACATGAAACTTCCTGTGACATATCACCAAAAAGATATGAATCACGTTTAAATTCAAAAATATTTAAATAAGAAAGGCAACATTTAACAACAGAAAATTCATGAATAACCTGGCATTCGTCGTCCAAATCCATGTTTGCTTGCCACGTGACACGTGAAGTCTTCAGCGGCGGGGGGGAGGATAATCCCATGTATGGATGGGCTAGATAGGTAAGTACCGCCTGATAGGGTATGGTTTTTGAGGATCTCGAGCCTTTAATAGGGTATCATTTTTTACGTTGTTGGCCTTGTGTCTTTGGTTTGATCCTTAGATAGGGTAACTCAAGTAGTAATGGATGGTTTATTCCATCCTTTCCATTTTGTAGAAAAACAGTAATCCAGAACACGCTCGGAAGAATTGCAAGGTCTTACGAGTTGTATATACGCAGGGAAGGATAATTTTTTACCATCCCCATGGTATTTGCTTTAGAGGACTCCTTACAGAAAACAATTGTTTTAAGATGGAATGAGTACTCCTTTTGTTCCTATATGGGACCAAATCAAGTGAGAATAATGGACCAAATGCCTAGCCTGCTCAGTGTAAGACCCCAAGTGAGTGGTATAAAAACAGGTACATACGAAGGTATTGGCCAGCGACTAATTGGATTTTGTGTTTAGGTTTCTGTTGTGGTTCGAAGGTTTGCCACTGGTGCCTTTTTTTTTATTTGCAGTAAACATTTTGAATCTTTCCAGGCCTCGTTTGATTAAGTTGGCCAAAATATGGAAGCCACTATTACTTCTTTAAGATTGTTCGTTAGACAAGAACGGTGTACCACGTGATGTGTCAACCTGTTATAAGTTCTAACAAGGAAAGCTTGAACTCTCCTGGTGCCCTTATTCGAATGATGTAGGACGATTAGCGGAAATTAAATGCTTTTTACTAATGGCTTGTTTGTGTCTAGTGTGTCTAGCTCTGTCTAGATCCTCTACACTGGCAATGCTCTGTCCAGAGGCACATCCCCGTATTGGCCATATAAGGAAGTACACCCACCAGGTAACCATTGAATGCAAGCCACCTGGTACAATAGCAAGGTTCAAGAATACAGCATTTCGTAAGTGAGATAAATAATCAACATTAATCTAAAAAAATGTTTAGGACTGTGAATAAAGTTAAATGTTTGAATGAGTAGAGACGTTACGTGCTAGCAGACGTCATCTCCATCTTTGCTTATGAAGTACCATGCATATTTTGGCGTTATATTAATGTTGAAGAAGTAAGTTTAATTACTCTCAAAACGTTATTACAAAGTGCGATGGAATTATTACAAATTGAGACAGCTTTTTTATTACAAAGTGCGACACGGTTTTTTACAAATTGCGACAGGTATTACAAAGTGCGATGGATTTATTACAAATCGTGACAGGTATTACAAAGTGCGATGATTATTACAAATTGCGACAGTACAACGTTCCTACATGATTGGGGTAATATTTTGACCTTGCAAAGCTTGTGCCAGTAGAACACGTTTCCTTTGATTTTGCATCATGGTTTTTTGTTACTAATGCACGTCAATAAGTTGCTTGTTACAGATCAACCAATCAGAAATGAACAAAAGTGGGCTGTTATAGCAGGCGTCCCTTACCCTCTCTCCCTACAATCTCCCTCCCTCTTTTTCTTCCTCACAATCCCCTACCCCTTTCGACACCTGCTACGCATGCGCAGGCTAGTAATTTAAGCCTACAGTGTGAAACAAGTTAATTTGTTTTCAAAGAAATGTTGATGAACAGTTTGATTTCATATATGCTTATGTCTGTATGCGTATAAGTCAAACTTGTTAGTAGTATATTAAAGCCAATTAAATTCGAGTTCAATTTGAAAGTGTTGACCTTATCGCCTTTCACTGTTCCGTTTAAAAAAGTTCACAGTTACTCAACTTTAACATTCTTATGTATATTAATATTAAAGGGGGCAAATTTATCATGACGTTTAAACAAAAAATTCGCTGGATATATTTGAATATAGTGACGTATATACTTCAAACTTTGCCTACTGGGTGCAAAACGCCATGGTGATTAGCGCAATGCGTCACAAATCCGGCAACCGCATGTAAACAAACTTATTGAAAGTTAACTGGAAAGTTTTTTCTTCGTTTTTTCACTAAAACACAACAAAGTAAATAGTAACAACTGAGGTGCAACTAATTTTGAAGTTTTTTAAGAAATAGAAAGACATATGAGATGTTTTGTCAAAATAAAAAAGAAGGGTGGTGGTGCTTGAAATTAGCATAACACCTTGCACGAGTTGCACGCATTTAATAAAATACGGCACGTCATCTTGTTATGAAACGCCATCTGCGGTCTTTTAGTTTTGCCACGGATGAGGTTTTGCTTCGTGTTTTAAACAGTATTTAATTGTTTTTGTTTTGGAAGAACATCGACAGTGGCGATCGGTCGCGAGTAATAGAACGAAAATATACAGGGTGTTTCAAAAGTTCGTTCCGATCTTTTATTCGCTTAAATTTCACTAATTATTAAAAAAAAACCTTTTGTAAAACTTAGTATATCATTCATTATAAATTTAACATTGCAAATGTTAAATGAATAATGAATGACATACTAAGTTTTAATAAAGGTTTTTTTTAATAATTAGTGAAATTTAAGCAAATAAAACATCGGAACGAACTTTTGAAACACCCTGTATCCGGGATAACTAAAATATTAGTAACCAGAATGTCTTCTTACATATTTTCTGAGGTATAGAACGTACAAACTCCAAACGCATGTCCAAAGTCACATTCTTCCAGGCGAAGCGTAGTCACTGTCTTAGTTTGTCCAGTGTTTAGGGGGATGGATCTTTGTACTTTGTCTCGTCTACGTTAATCCAGATGGTCTCTAGGGGGTTCATATCACGTGAGTTTGCTGGCCGATCCTCTTCGTTGTAAAGTTGGCAAATCCTTCTGACACCATGCCTGCATGAAGTGTGCACTGCTTTTTTCTCTTCAAGGCTTTCCAAACTTTTTTTGGTAACTTATCCCCATAACGTTGTGCTCGAAACTTTGATCGATAATGTGAAGTTGAAATTTTTTTACCTTTCTGTTTTGTGGAATTATTACGCATATACTTACAGCTTTTTCGATAATATTTCTCACACAGTTTGTGAAAAAACGGCCATTCACTCCTTGGTTTGTCTTCTAGGGTCTTTACTTTTGACCACTTGTTTGGTCATCGTTCAGACTTCTTCAACAATTTGGCAATTTTTTTAGGACTGACTGGCCAGAAGACCATAAAAATAGATGCCTGAGCTGAAGCACAAACAGTGTAGCTACTGCAAGCTACTGGGCATGCAACACTTCACTTCAGTACAGTCAAGTATAACCTAGTGCTGGGTTTTTTTT